CGTATTACAAACTGGACACTCTACTCTGCCCTTTTCCTTTTCACTAATATTTGGAGGGGGTGGGGGGGGAACAAACTATCTAATACGAAAGTCTGCTTCAAAAACCATCAACAATCACCGAGCCTCCATCTAAAAAACAATTCTGTACCAACTTCTGGAAGCACATACGAAGCTGTGCACGCTGTACAACAAAAACTAAGCGCTTCAAATTTTCTAAGTCCCAAACCAGAAGTGACGTAAATGTACAGCTGGCATCATAATTATGCTAGTGATGTAAGATTTCATTCTGAAGAATGAGCACTTTAATCACCGATCTCTGTTACAACATGCCGAGTTTAAAATGAGCAAAAGGAAATATAAAACTTGATAAACTATCTGTAGATTTTTATCCATGCAGTCAATTCTTCTACTCCGTGGTCAGATTGATTATCATTATCTTGTCCTCAATTGTCCTTGTGTGCTTTTTGGTACGACATTGGTTTCGAGTCTTGGTTGAGTAAGTGGAAACCCACAGTGACGATGTAATAAAACTGCAAATTAAACAATCAGTACGAAGATGGCCGTCTTCTCGGTTGTTGCACCAGACTGCACGACGCAACAACCAAGAAGACGGCCATCTTTGGACTCACCACCACGAAAACCTCAAATCCTACTTACACAATCAGTACAAACGAATGCTGCAATACAAGCATTATACATAATACCATATTTTCACGACAAAATTTTTTCATTCATAGCGTTCGTAAATAAAAATGGAATGTGTTAAATTTATTCATTTTCTTCTTTTCAAAATGTGAAATAAGGGTTCATAGATTAAGTGGTGAAATAAGGTAATCTGGAATGTGAGCATTTTATTTTCTTGTGTACACGCAAAGAAGTTCCCAAAAATTTTCATACGGACCTGACTGACAAAAGGCCTATGATGCGATGTGCTGCAACACGAGACAGGACAGCAGGACCTGCCTGAAATGCCATTACCTGTTAATATCCCACGTGTAGATACTGCCGTCAAAACCAGATGTTACCAGCAACCCATCTCGTGGAGAGAATTCTATGTTTTTTACCCAATTGGAATGGCCATGAAGGGTACGTATTTGAGACTTCAAATTACGAGCATCCCACAGTGCCACAGTACTGTCATCACTGCATGTTGCAAAAACACGGGAATCCAAGAACCTGAAAGTAGCATCCGCAGTATTACGGTACAGTCGACTTACTTATTTGTGTTTTCTTTAACAACACTGTCAGAAACCTACACCTACATATCCCAAGCAGTCTCTTTCCTTGAGATTTTACTACAAAAATTATGTATTCATTTCTTGTTTTCACCATGTAAGTTACAAGACCCTTAACATGGAAAATTAACTTTTAATGTTAGAATAATAACATAATTGGATCCAAACAAATAAATACATAACTGTCAATATTAAGAACCACGTGCTTTTATAAACAGTGGTCATATACAAACACTCGGCAAACCCTCAACTTGCCACCAAGGACAACTTCTCTAAGTTTTAGTAGCCTGTACAACGAGGTGCGACGCTGATGTCACGTCAATGGTAACACGTCTTTTGATGCTCATTACACACCCCTGTCTACCCTCACGTGTGCTAAAAGGCAGGAATCTAATTTACAAAACATCAAAAAACTCAGTACTATTACAGTTGTAAAAAGAATTATGAAACAGATAACAAATCATGATACACAGTGGGTGAGAAGATGGCCGTCTTCTGGGTTGTTGCACCACGTAGTGTGGTAAAAGTTTACTGATGTTTCAGAGGACCTTGCTGCCTCCACCATCAGAGCAATGAGAAAGCTTCTACGAGACTACACAACACAACAACCAACACGACAGCCATCTTTGGACTCACTGCCGCGTAAACCTCAAATCCTACACATAAGCACATTGGGTGTTATAAAGCGAAAAAGGTAGTACGCAACATATGAAAATAAAAACACTACAAAAAAGTTGGAGAAATTAAGGAAGAATGAGTTTACATTTATACAATTCACATGTAACAAACATGTTTAATAACGGAACAGTTAGTTTCAGGAATAACTTAAAGCAAACATTCTCCTTTAAATGTTTCTATCTGAAAGAGAAACAAGTGTAAATTATAAAGCAATGATCCACCTTCATATATGTCGCCAGCAACCACCCCACCTGAAACACCTTAGATTTAATCTCATCGCCATGTCTGTGATCTTTAACACACAAAAATGTGTCACTACCCATTTGTACACAGGTTTCACCATACAAAATTTCGAAGGCTTTGCTTCAGTCGTTTCTATCACAGATTAAAGTAAATATAGATCTTGCATTGCCACCACACGCCTATTTGCTAGTTTACATTGTGCACAAAAGTGTCTTAAACAAGATACAAACACACAAAACTTCAGATCATGTTGCATGCCACTAGTGTTACACCCATTTCAGAACCTTAAAAGGCCACAATGTTGGTAGAACTGATTACAGGAAAGTAAAATGTACAGGAAGGCACCTTACATCATGTTCAAGCCACTTCATTAAAATCAGTTACATTATTCAATATTCACTAGAGTACTGCATGATAGGTCACAAGCGAATACAGATGGGAGACTGGAACTCTAATAGTTTAACCTGATCTCTGTACTACAAACTATATTCAATTTCCCACATATAAAGAACATGCCTTTTGTGCTTGTTTCCTCTCTCTCACACACACATATATATTGATATAATAGCACTTAATATTTCAATACTGCCAGCTCACCTAACACAGTTAACACAGTCTCGATGAGCATTGTCTACTGCATGTATCAGTCTTCGACAAAGAGGGTCAAACATTAATATGCTCTTCTTTTCACATGCTGCAACCAGAAGAGATCTACAAAAAAAGAAAAAATGTTATTGCCAAATTATTTATATAGCAGTACTTCATGCAAGTTAAAATAACGACGGTAATAGTACTTATAACGGTAATATAACTAGGATAAAATAACCAGCTTACCCATCAGGTGAAAATTCCAAATTGAAGACACCACCATGCATTGCATGTCTCAAATTTTCGCCATGATCCCACGATGTACATGGGAGAATTGACGAATATAACCGTTTGGAAAACCTATCAGCATATCCTAAAGGTAGCCGCTGGCCAATTTCTCTTTGTCTCAGCCAGGAATCGTTCATTATTCTCGTCTTAACCTTCGGCATGATTCGTGGCCTCGACTTTTACCTACAACAAGGTCCTTTCAAAAGTACGGTGAAAAGTTAATTTTCTCACTGAATGGTCCACTCTCTTGCAGACAGTAAATCTGACTTGAACTTTTAAACAAAGCTCACGCGAATTTCAATTATCTAGTTTCGCCAAACACCTAGTCACTTTACAAACCTACACCTTTATTCATGTTTACATGCACAACGACACAACCGTAGCCACAGATTTTACCAATGAACGTGAGTATTTCAGAGCCGTTACATTATCTGTGGCCGGTACTACAGGCCAACCACCCCAAATGTTGGAAGCATCTAGATTTCATTTTGGCATACAAAGTCTGGTAACTAATATGACTGATATGATATGTTGACAGAATGTCGAATTTCGAGATTATTTAGCCTTGCTACAGACAGCTACCTTAAATACTCGTAAAATGTGTGAACGGATTATGAACACGTTTGTGTGCAATGTTGAATAATTATGACCAGTTAATTTTTGCTCCTAGGGGAAGTTAACCTTAAAATATAATGGTTATATGCTCCAGTTCTTCCCTTTTGTTTCTTAAAGAAACACCGTTGCCAAAACGTTTTCCCATTACGCCTTTGTTGCGGGGAAATTTTACATTCACAGATATGTCTCTGTACATATCAAACCAATACCTGTTTTGTGAGAGTATGGTTCTCACGGCAGCGAAAATGAAGATCGCCTCCTCTGGGATGTTGCTCATACTGCTTCCATCATCAAGATCGCCATGATGATGGAGGCAATAAGCACCTCTTTAACGCCAGACAATTTATATTTTTACCCCTTAATTGGTTTAGCCTGGCAAAAATATTAACACAGATTATACACACATATACAAATCTCTTAAATTCTTTGTAAAAGCATACTGATAGGAAGCAAGTGTATTTAACAGTAATAAAATAAAATTGTGAGATTTAAGGTTATGATAGCAGTGAAGATGTCGATGTTGATCTTCTGGGTCGTAACACCATGTGAGCTTGTGGATAGATACCAACATTTTAGAGAAACATACTGTCTCCATTTTCAGGGCTAAAGCTGTCAGGCCTCAAGATGTCAATGTTGTTCTGGGTTTATATACCATGTGGACTTGTAGGTATATATCAGTATTCCAGAGAAACATGCTATCTCCATCTTCAAGGTTGAATATGGAGACAACATATTTCTCCAAAATTGTGGTATTTACGTACATGCCCATGCTGTATCACAACCTGGAATAATAACATTGACATGGAGACAATGTGTTTCTCTGAAATGAGTACCTCCTGCAAATCCACACCACATTATAATCCAGAAGACCAACAATGAATTGTTAAATTATCATAATTATTGAGTTCTTCAGCAATATTCACAAGAATGTGTCCGTTCAGTCAGTTATTAGGAATACAGGACAATTCTTACATTCTACTCACCGCTGTATTCTCATGCTATATCAGTACTAAAGCCTTCTACTCACCGCTGTATTCTCATGGAATACAGGACAATTCTTACATTCTACTCACCGCTGTATTCTCATGCTATATCAGTACTAAAGCCTTCATACCAAAAAAATTATTACACATGAAATCTCCTAACAAAATTTTCATGTTGTAAATAAGGAACTGAGCAGATACACATTCTAGATTACACAAAAGTTGTCCTTTGTATCATAATTACCCTAGGTGGGTGCATGCACATTCAGAACAGTATTACATCCAGGACTTATTAGTATTCTGTAGCAAATTCTACCTTTCTAGCTGCTGATATGATTCCTTAATGATAATGTATGAAAAAAACTTTTCCCTAAGTAATAATCAGCATTCCCATTTCCATAACAAACAATAAAATCATAGGGGACAAGGAAGGAGCCTCCTCGAATATTGCGAGTAAATGGAGAGGGTTCTCAATCAGAGCAATCGGGTGTCCCCCGGTAACGACAGAAGTCTGCTAATCCTTCCAGCACTGGAATACTTAGATGGTCCAAAGATGGGCGAAGTCTGTATGCAACAGAATTAGATGAACCCTTTGTTTGTTTCATGTGAAATTTATATAATAGTATGAATTGTACTTTATAACATGTATTGTATTATTATGACTTTTTCCACATCCTGTTGTCATCTGACTGTCTTATGGATCCATGGAATGTAATAAAATATGTGTGTATTCTGGAATGGATTACACCTTTCCACTTTTGTAATATTATCCTTCCATCTATTTTTAGTGGTCTTTTCCTTTCAGGCTTATCACCAAAATTCTGTACAAATTTCTTATCTTCCCCATGCCTGCTACTTACCCCACTCACTTCATCCCCCTTTGTTTAATCACGCTAAATTTGATGAAGTATACGAACTGTGGAGCTCCTCATTGTGCAACAAGGCAAACAGAATAATAAAGTCATGAACCGATACTGAACAAAATAAATTATTTAAGTATATCTGACCCTTCTATGGGTGAGTAATGAAGGGTATGATGTACTCAGAAGTCAGAATAACACATATGAGAATTTATTAGAAACACATAAAGATGGTTACGCTCTTCAGTTGACATCGCATGACCAATTATAATTTAACCTATGCTAATATGAAAATATTATAGTAAACTCTGAAGTAATATACTGATAATGTCAGAATAACACTTTAATGGGAGGGGAAAAAAACAGCAAAACATAATCCCCTTTCTACTTCAGTTCTTCACAGATGAAAACGAAAAACATTTATTCAGTGCTAATAAACCCATCTCCCTGTCATGGCTCCCTATAAAGAACAAACACCTAACTCCCAATCTGTTCAACAGATAATCAGAATATTATGGATTTGAATTCATAATGGTCTAAAAACATATAAAACTATTAATTCCACAACATAACAAAAAAGACTTAAAACAGCTGGAATAAACTTCTAGATGGTGTCTTTTTATCAAAGCTGAATTGAAATCCTTCGTTGGGTTTGTTCCTCTCAGCTGCACCACTGCCAGTATTTGTGGCGCCAAAGCTAAAAGTGAAACCTGGAACATGATACAAGTACGAGATGTGTTAGGTACACATCTTCATCTTATTGGGAATCGTACACGACACTGTGCAGAACCAAATGTCATGGTAGAGTGGTAGCCCCCCCCCCCCCCCTCTCACTGCTTTGTATGTTGGGGTCCTGGGTTCAAATCTAGGCTCAGAGACCAGTTACCCTGACTAACAGTGTTTCTCAGTCTCTTCAAGCAAATGGTCAGATAGTGCCTTAAACTAGGTCAAGGCTGCTTCCTTCTATATCCTTTTCATTTCATTGATTGAAAGTGTCATTAAATAAACCAAAAAGTATATAAAATAAAGCGACTCAAACTCCCACTGCATCAAAACTGTCCATAGTTTTGCAGTCTGTGGAACATTTAAACAACATCCGCAGATCTTTACAAAGAACATGTTGTACGTTGCACACAATTTTTTTTTTAATGACAGTCCATGTGCCAGAAAATCAATCAGTTTGATTTTAGCTTCGTGTAAAACCGCCTTAATTTCTGACTCGTGTGGATTTAAATTTACTTGGCATCTTTTAGTGTAGATTTCCAATGCCAAGTTTTATTGAAAAGATAATATGCAGTTTCAGAAACCAAAGTTGCAGATGCAAGACCAAACAGTAAGTAAAGAAAAGACTAAAAGTGAACACATTCCATCACCAAAAAGAAAGTATCGGTACAAAAAACAACGCGCTTACCAGTGTTGCTTTGTTGGCCGCTGAGACCTCCAAAGAGGTCATTATTTGCAGTTTGGAATCCAGGCGACATGACAAACGGAGGGGACTTCAAAGCAATTGTTTCATCAGGACTGGTCATCAGAAAGTCTCCTTGCGGTGATAAGACACAGCAAACATCTTCAGAGCTTGCGGTGAAATGACAATCATCTTGATACTGGTCCCCCTCTGAAGTATGATCTAGCCCTGCAAGGACAGACAAATGCTAACGTACTAGCAATGGTATATAAAATGACATCTGTTACTTGACGTACTGCTGCTCATCTTTAGCTTCCACAAGCAAACTTTTTTCTACGTGTCAAAGATTTACTTCAATCCATTGCAGGTAATACTGAAAAGGAGAAATATATTTATTTATGTACATCAGGTAAGCACATAGAGTTCTCCAGAAATACAGTGTCTGAGAAAGAACTTGGCACTTTTGTTCATTGAAACAAGGGGTCAGAGAAATGCGCAGACAAGAAAACTTGAGTAATGTAATACACCAAGCTTGACATGTGAATCAGCGCAGTGCAACATTGCACGGGTTTCGGAACGAAACCCAAAAGTCTGCAACTGTGGTATTTATTTTCACCGGCAAACTGCCACAGCGCTGCTTCATAAGTGCGCGCTGTGTGGTACTTCTTACTGACTGGAAGTATAATTTCTGGGAGAGGTAGAAATTTGCTTTTTGCCAACACATCCAGACCGTGCTCAGTAGATACAAGGAACTTGTTCCTTGGGAGTGGATCACAAAACTGACCATTCACCTCCATCTACTGGTGTGGCACAGGGACGTTGATTAATTACTTAACATAATCTACCTGTCCCTATATTCAAATAAAGAATAAAATAAAAAGTAATAAAAAAATAAAAATATGTACACCACCGGTCTCACAGTTAATTCACCCTTGATGAGTGGCCACAAATATTTCTGGTACCCAGGGCACGTTTGTGTGTTTGAGGTAAACATTTCTGGTCTGTCTCTCATCAACTACATAATGGATAATAATTTGTCAGATAACAGTACATTCAGGAATTTTCTTTAGACGTAAACTGAAATAAAATCATATGTTTCATCACACAGAAAATCAGTCTACCTGACATATTTAATGCCAAATGTTCCTACCCAAACTTTTGTTTTGAAGTTACAATTAATTATCCAAAATTGATCACAAATGAACTGACAAATGCAGAAAACACTGCACTTCATTTCTATAACTTTCTGCAACAAAATCCATAAAAACTGTACCCAAATATCCATGAAGGCAGAGAACATTTCTGTATTTGCTTTGTTTCAGTAATGTTCATTAATAAGTCTCTATTTTCATTTAATTTCTTACAAAAGAGAGCTATGTTACTAATCTCATATTGACTTATAATACAACTTTTCAACTTTCTATTGGAATTCATAGCCTCACACATTTTCTGTCAGAATTACTGAGAGTAGCAGTCACTCACGCAAATGTTACTTTTCAGAATTTTAAAAAAAATTATCGCAGTTCTTATCTCAAAAACAAGCACAGTTTTATCCAACAGACCTCTCAGATTTGGTATACTTACATTAAAGTGAGAGCTAGCTCAAAAATATCACACACTTTTTTTCATCCAGACAATGGACAAGATCCAAAGAAAAATTTCCTATACTGATATCAGACCTTTATATCCGTGCCACATTGATGTTTCGACCATATACAAAAAAAGGAGTAATATAAAATACCTATAATCTATGACCACACAAACTTTAGCGTAATAAGCCATAAAAATTAATAAATTACCATTGAATTATCAACTGAACTAACATGTGAAGTAAGGAAGAACATTCATATTCTAAGATGTCATCATAACAACGACATATTTTCAAAAATCTATATTTACAAAACAAGGTAATGATTTACTGTAAACATTCGTGTAAGACAGTAAACACTTCCTGGCAAATTTGTAATTGCTCTTGATTATGCGCACCTGCCACATTTTCACCTGCAACGGGCGATGGGTAACGTGGCACGTCAAAATTCATGCCTGCGTCATCGTCTTCAATATTTGTAACTGGTTGAACTTGATCACTATGGACCGTCTTCTCCAAAGCAAATGCCTAAGAATATTAACCATAATTGTTATCATATCTGATAAATATATGACAATATAATAAATTTATTCCTGTACTTAGATCCCTATACAGAGTGATTCAAAGCTTAAGCGCTCACACGATTCAGCTGGCCATGCATCGGAGTAGCCACCATTAAGCGATATTTGACTTTATTAGAAAAATCTTATGAGTCATGCAGTTCGTGTCAAGAACCATGAAGCAACAGCTGCATTCTGATCTATTAGATGATTAAAACAGAAAACTCTGATAACTTCTTTGGTAAATTTTTCTATTATTGAAAGCTTGTTAAGTCCACTATTAAGTCTGACAGACCAGATTTCAGTGATTACGTACCTGTGAAGTTAAAAGCCTGTTATCTGACGTTGGTCGATCAGTAATATCCAGAGTTGATTGTCTGTAATCTCCACGAGACCCTGTCACGCAACCTGCACCTATTTTTTGGACAGCAGACTCCAGTGTAACACACCCGCCAGCTGCTGAAATCAAAAATCTAAAATATCTGTACTCAGTTTCACGCAATTCTGTAATGTTCCTGGAAAATCAGTTTTGGCTTAAGAAAACAAACGTAACACGGTGTGGCACGAGACTGCTACAGCTAATAAGCCAATTGTTCCACTCAACACATTCGGTTTTCTGCACTGAAAATTGCAGTCAAATGGTTAGTATTCACGCCCTGCATGTAGGAGGTCACAGATTCAAATTTCAGCCCAGACACTGGGAATCTTGAATGAGGTTTTCTGTGGTTTTCCTCAGTCCCTTCAAGTAAATCTCAACATAGTACATTAAATTAAGTAATTATCTTTTCTTCTATGCTGTTTCCAAACCATTATTCATAATCATCCTGTAATTCAACACAAATAAATAAACACGATTTTGTTGTGCGATTGCTGTTCGTTATTATTTGCGCTGGAGTCATTCCTTTCAATGGCCAATGGCAAGGAGTGAGGTGTGTGCCACTTTGTGCCAGAAACATCTGAGACAGAGATAGTTCACAAGGGAATGACGAGTTCTTTTTCAGTGAGCAGATAGTTCACAGTTCCTTCAGAATGACTCCGTCATAAACTACCCATCACCATGATGGACAGACAAACACAGCAAAGAACTAGCAACTGCTATTTTGCCAGTAGAATGTACGACCTCTAACCACATTTTATAGCTAATCTAAATAAACCATTAATGGATCTTATCATCAGTTATAAAAAATTGTTACTCCAGTTTCACACATCCCCCGTGATATACTCGCCTATGACGTCTACAACCTCTGTAGTATTAACAGGTGCTGCAGCTTGCTGTGTTGAAGACACAGTAGTTGTTTCTCCATGTGCTGAACTCTGATGATCTTCAGTAGATGTAAGTTCTGGTGCTTCATCCATACAGTGATCAGGGGGAAAATTGGATTGTCCAGGGTCTGGCTGTGGCTGATCCATTGCACAAGCTGCCGGCAGAACCTGTGGCTCATTTCCATCATGTACTGTGGCTATAGATTCTGCCACTTCCTGTCTGCTTTTCTCTGTAGCTTCAGCTGTAAAAGACGATAATAGGATTCCTCCGAGAACATCGTAACTGAAGATGAAAATAAAGGAACACTATGACGCCACAGATTAGGTGGACAGACCAAGTAAGCAAAGATGTATAGAAGAGTAAGGAAAAGTGGACGAGACTTTCTCATAAGATGATTCACACTGGTGGAAATGACAATGGATAATGATTATGATGTTTAAATAACCTCATTTCTGTTTCTTAACTTTTGTACGGCACGATTTAGTGGTTATTAAATCACAAAATGATCTAATCATATAAACCTACATACCATGTGTTGCTACCACGGAAGATGGTAGTGGAGGAACAGTTGCCTCCCCACCATTTTGTTTTCTAACTTGGAATCCACCTGATGGATTCAAAATATTTCTCACATCTCTGGCCAACATATCAACAATTTGACTTGCACCTGTACCAACAGCTACGGACATGTTATTTGTGGACCTTTTCTCGAGATATGGAATCTTCCTTGGGGGAGAATACCATGGTGGAAGCTGAAATGTTAAAGCAAAGCCAATAAGATCTGTAGAACCACAATATATTAATTAATTTCAGTTGTTTATATTAGAGTTTATGGCACTGACTACCATCAAAAAGTCTATAAAACTATATAAGTGCTGTTTCTCTCACAAGAACGTATTCAGTCCTTCTATTTCATGACCATCATTTAAGATTTATATGATGGTAGAACAAAAGTCATACATTAGTGCAGACCTCAAGAAACTGATCAGGCCTACCAGTTACCTTCACTTACCTCAGTTGGAAGTTTACTATATTTCAGGAACTTTGTGGTTTCAGCTGCTGAAAGGTTACCCTGCCCTTGTAAATAATATTGAATGCCCTCATTCAGTTAAGTGGTAGAACATCTGACTTACATTTAATCTCAAGCAGAAGGTGACATGCTAGCAAGACATTCTTGGCTTTCGTCAGTCCCCCAGGTAAATACCAAGAATATACAGTAAAACAGGAATATTTTACTGAGATTCAAGGACATTCTATTACACATGTCAGTCTGAAGTATAACTTATTTAGTGTCTATGTCCACAAATGAATCACATTTGGTTTAAAATTATGCACATTGTATACAAATGATCTTCTAAAATTCCGATGTAATATTGCATTTATTAATTTAAAACTTAGAAACTTTAAGGATAAAAAAAATTAAAAACTAGAATAGAAACTGCACAAATACAAACAATGCTCGCTTAAGAGCGCAAGGGGAGAATTGTCAACACCTCTCAATCAGTTTGTCTCAAAACTTATTTTGTTTTCTAATATGTACTCACAATGGCCCACTTCATGGAAAGAGAGACAGAGCTGCAATGGGCATAATAACTCTGTATATAAAGCACAAAATTTTAAATAAATATGTGATGTACACTGGTAGAGGGCGGTGTACTCTACAGTGATGTACACTTTTCAACATTTATTGTAGAATAACATACGTAATAAAAGCTGCTGGAGTTTCTCATTCATATGAAAAGCAATAAGGTATGAGAAGACAGAAGATTCAAACTGAAACTTATAATTATTATCATATCTCCTTCAAGTTAAATGGTCTCAGCAGTTGTTAAAGCATTCTTAACACACAAACCACACACCTCGGCAAGTTACTTCCAGAAATTCTCATTGCCCTAGAAACAATTATGGATCACTGTATTTATAAGATGCAGTCATCTAAAATGTTACCTGTAACTGAGGAACAGTAAGACACGGGATGTCCATGACAGTCTTTTGAATTAAATTAGCAAGCGTATCCTGTTGGGCGCTGTTTTCATTTTGGTTTTTGACGCTCACATTTATCAACCTTTGCTTCTCAGTCTTTTTAACGTCAACCAAATCCCTCAATTTCCTGCAACGAACCACAGAGTAAAGTCAATTTTTCTGTTTCATGGCACAAAAGACAAAGACGAGTTCTAAGCAAATACTAATAGTACTAATACTGATGCTGATCCTGCATTTGGATGCTGGCACCATGTAGAACCAATCAGAGCCATGGGATGTGGAGGTGAGATGAAACCAATAGGAAAGGGCCCTTTCTGTGGCACCCAGGAAGACACAGGTGCGTAAGAGTGAAGGTGTGCACAGTACATGTTGAAAAATGTGGCAGTTCTTATGTCACTTAGGGCATTCACAAAATAAAATTAAAGCAGTAATATATGATATATGACAAATACATATCTGCTGGAGAGAAGATAAAATATTTAAAAGACTGAGACACTGCGAATTGGCACTTTAATGGCGGCTGCAGACAGAAGATTCAAACTGAAACTTATAATTATTATCATATCTCCTTCAAGTTAAATGGTCTCAGCAGTTGTTAAAGCATTCTTAACACACAAACCACACACCTCGGCAAGTTACTTCCAGAAATTCTCATTGCCCTAGAAACAATTATGGATCACTGTATTTATAAGATGCAGTCATCTAAAATGTTACCTGTAACTGAGGAACAGTAAGACACGGGATGTCCATGACAGTCTTTTGAATTAAATTAGCAAGCGTATCCTGTTGGGCGCTGTTTTCATTTTGGTTTTTGACGCTCACATTTATCAACCTTTGCTTCTCAGTCTTTTTAACGTCAACCAAATCCCTCAATTTCCTGCAACGAACCACAGAGTAAAGTCAATTTTTCTGTTTCATGGCACAAAAGACAAAGACGAGTTCTAAGCAAATACTAATAGTACTAATACTGATGCTGATCCTGCATTTGGATGCTGGCACCATGTAGAACCAATCAGAGCCATGGGATGTGGAGGTGAGATGAAACCAATAGGAAAGGGCCCTTTCTGTGGCACCCAGGAAGACACAGGTGCGTAAGAGTGAAGGTGTGCACAGTACATGTTGAAAAATGTGGCAGTTCTTATGTCACTTAGGGCATTCACAAAATAAAATTAAAGCAGTAATATATGATATATGACAAATACATATCTGCTGGAGAGAAGATAAAATATTTAAAAGACTGAGACACTGCGAATTGGCACTTTAATGACGGCTGCTATCTTATTTATTTGTGGTTTATTTAACAACAATAATAATAGCTCATCGAGGGAGGGAGGAAGTGAATTTGTTAAACATTTCTATTGAATTACCTTGACAGAAAATACCCACCATTTCCATTAATGAGATGGTAATCAAACATGTGCTTTTGACTGTTTATTTTGTTACAGTACCTGATTTCCTGGCCCAATGCAGCAATCTTTTTTGAGAAGACTTCTCTGTCTTTGTACGCTTCTGCTAGTTTCACAACTTCTAGTCGCTTCTTTTTTTCTGTATATGTTACAAAATCAGAGGTTTATTTTAATTTATTGTATGTAAACTAGTTTAGGATAATATGCAAATTAGAAGAAACATTGAACATAGCGAGGATGCAGATAGTCACACAGCAAATGAAGAAGGAAAGACAAAATACTACCTGGTATTAAAGTTCACATTATGAATGAAACATTTAGTGCTGTTCTGTCCAGTCAGTGCACCTGAACTCACAATGATAAGTGCTTATTTCCTTCTATAAATTCCAATTTCCATATTCCTTTAAACTGCTATATTAGATCACTAATCTATAAATAACGAACTCACACACATAATTTTTTGGCAGATATAACTTTTAAGAAAACAACTGTAATAAAAAATCATACCTCGCACTTGCACCAAACATAAACATTTACGTTTGATTTCTGTTATTTCCACTTGGAATTGCATCAACTTAATGTGCTTCAACTTAAACTCAACCTGCACTTCTGTCCTTTCACGAGAAACAGGAAGTTTATTGTAGATTCCCTGCAACAAGGAAAAAGTTCTGCATAAGAAACAAAAACCCATTGTTCTGGTTTGAACTTTCACTGCAAATATTTAATTTTCAGATGACCAAAATAATCAAATGGGCTCAATTTTCACAATGGTTTACTTTTTACCCTTTAAAAAAGGTTCTCTCCCATTATTCTGCAGTTCCTTGAAGACAGTGTTTGTAATCTAAATATATTGCTAATGTTATATACCTTATAATGTTCCCAAGTTTTTTCATATTTGGCAATGATGGAGTCATGTTTATTCTTCCATTCTGCTGTTCCCTTTTGTTCCATCTTCAACTCTTTAAGAAGACTGCTTTTATGTTCCTTCAATAACAGCTGTGTATTCCACGCACTGAAATTCAAATTTTATAAAATTCGGATGATACAAATAAGTATCCATTTACCACAAATAGATTAAAAATATGTTTTGTTTTATTTGCCCCAGTTTTTCTTTTAAGCATAGACAGTCCAAAGCAACTAATATTGGAAAAAAGTAGCTACTCACAACAAACATTTAAAACACATGTCAAGAAAAATAACTTGTATAAACTTTCCAAAGAATTATGTTTCTGACTGACAAGAAATGGTCACAATTCCATCCAAAAGTAAACTAAAGTAAACTGGAAAATCTTAACCACTATCTTACCCATTTCCAGTGACTATTGCTGACACAGCAATCCTACAAAATAATAAACTTACTGCTCAACAAAATTAAATTGATTAAAACCACATAATTCCATGATAAAAAATTGTGGGCCATAGCCTATCAATGGCCCTAGTTGTAAGTTACTTACTGATACATTACAGGTGCCACATGAAGAGGTGAAATAGGCTGTAAGATGAGCATCCCTGGTTCAGGGGCATGCTACTGCAGTACATGGCCACCTGGACTGTTGCTCAAAACTAACAAAGCTTCAAATCAATTGTTATAGCTCTAACCTCACAAACAATGGCAGGCAAACTGACATCCTTATTGCCTCTCTGCTGAGTTTTCTCATCCAGGTTCTTGAAGGAACAGTGAGTTCACTCATCCAACATCATCAAAACATATACCTACCTGCTTACTCACCTACAGTAATTTATAATGTATATTTTAAACTACTAATAAGGTTTGTATATTGAAGACTGGTAGGAGAATCATATATACAGGCTTCCAAATCAAGTTACACAAACAATTATAAAAATTTCTACCTCTCAATACTATCATTAATCAATTTTTCCCGGCCAATTTTTTCTTTCTGCAGGTCTTCCAGGTAAGTAATATATTTTGTAACAGCAACATATTCATCGCATAATTTCTTTCGATATTCTTTTTTATCTGAAAGAAATAACATAATTAAATCTCTTACATATATAACTTGATAACGATGCGTAAACGTTCAAATCTTGTATCGAATTGACCGATAAATATTACACATACTCTTCAGATATTCATTTTCCAACAGTAAAGACGTATGTATAGAATTAAAGTCTGTTAACATGTGGGATAAAGGAAATCCCTCGTTTTCTCCCATTTTTCTTTCTCGGAATAACGCACTGTTACTAACCAGTAGGCCGCAATTATTCTCTATTTGTAATTTCAAACAAAAGCGCCATCAATCAGGGTTGTTAACATCACAAAACGAATGCGAAAATTAAAAAAAAAATTGCAGTAGTTTGTCTAAGAAATATTGCAATAGTAATCGTCAATATCGAACACACAAAAAAATACTTTTAAATCGTAATACTTCTTTGTGTTCTTCTATGCTGGTGAAGCTAGTTCATTGCCCTAAACTTTATATATAGCATAAAACAGAACCTACAAGATTACTTGCGATTATTCTAAGAGGAAACTATACGATAGCAACACATGAAAGAAGTATTCTGTGTAACGAAATAATTACGTATATAATCGTGTATATTCTTGGAAGTAATGAAGAATTTTTCGAAAAGAGTGCGCAGCCCGCAAACATGAACGAAGTAATAGTATCCTTTATGATTTTACACTTAATATAATACATGTATTCAAACTTGAAACAATTATTTATTTATTTCGGTTTCTTCTTCTTCTTCACCTTACCAGACAGGAGGTCCAAAAAAACCCTTATTTCAAGCTCAAGCAATTATTACAGAAAAGAATAAAATTTATTAAATTCCATAGATCCTTAATAGGCCTAAGCCGAGGACGCAGAACGTGTCAGCACAAATACAGTACTTGTTTCCAATCAAATATAAATTACACAGTTACGAAATTAATTTACAGCCAACTACAGTGTTACCCTAAAAATAAATACACAATAAAGCAAACCCATTATTGCTTACATGCGTTTATAATAGCTGATAATTTTTGGTTAAATGATCTGGGCATGATGTGGGCTGACCTTGGGTTAGGCTGGCATGACATGTATTTGTGGATTGGGCATGGGCTGGGAACGGGTGACCATGTTCTTGTCTGAGCCTGGACTAGCCATGGAATACTCTCAACTTTGCATTGCCTAGACTAGGAATCAGCTGTTCTGGGCATGGGCTGGATGGGCATCTGCAGAACTAAGCACTGCGGTTATCTTCGTTAAGGCGGCAAGACACATACAAAAGCCCAGAACAGTGCAGTTTCTCGGAGAGCCGATACAGTGGGTAGAAACAGCACGGTATCTTGGGTGACCCTTGACACTGGGCTTACCTGGTTGGCACACGTCAGCCATGCGGGAAAGAGGGCAGTGCAACGATTTAGCGTGCTTGGCCCCCTCCTTAACAGCAGAAGTGTCCTCTCCGTCAGAAACTGTGCGCTGTTCTACAAGCAGCTGATCCGTCCTATTATGGATTACGCATGCCCAATCTGGCGGTCAGCTGTCAGTAGCCACATCTGGAAGCTGAAAGTGCTACAATCCAAGTGTCTTCGCATTGCGACCGACTATTGCACTTTCATACGTTGGTGACAGGCAAATTCAAGTGCTTTTAGGGATTCCACTCTTTGCCGACCACATCAGAACACTGACTGAGAGCTTCGACTCAAAGTTAGCTGGTGTGGGGAATCCCTTAGTGCGGCAACTCGGGTGGCACTTTTGCTGATCGAGGGCTGACAGAGGTCACCCACGGGCAACCGAGGAGGGCAGATGTTCGGCAGACCAGCTGAGGCTGTTCCTGAAAAGGCGGCTAAGTTGGCACGAGAGGTCTGACCATTCAGCTACCCTGACTGAGGTGTTCTGTGTTTCTCCTCACTTCTAAGGCAAGTGCCAGGGTATAATTCAAAAAGGTGCATGGCCCACCATCCGGCCAAAGCGATCCCGCCCCTTCTGGGCTCAAATACCAGAGAGCCATCCAACCAAAATCCTTTGCAGGAAAAGACAAGTTACCTTATGTGATAACCTCCCACCAGTTGTAATGGCCCCTAGTCGAATAGTTGACAAAACCCTCCGTTAGCATAAGCACGCCCACGTTATAATTTTAAAGCGATGTTTACCGTTTCCAGCAATGCGTTTCGTACACAGGAATGGTATTACCTAGCAAGGGGCAATGTGCTGCACTTGCACAGGCCGCTGCCCTTAGTTAGCTTTTTGGTTGGTGGTCTCCAACTTCGGTACCCCGAGGACAAGGACGAAGATGGTTCTCGAAACGTTGGCGTCTTCTCCATAAACCACCTGACACGGCTGGTAGCCCAAGAAGAATTCATTACACTTAGTCGCCATGAAAGCTTCAGATCATACAAGATTGTGAAATATTACGAAATTAGGATTCATAGAACCAAAACTGTTCTTCTAAAGAACAGAGATTCTTTCGAATAGACATTTATTTTTACCAAAATGACATGTTAGGCTATTCAGTCACCTTCAGGCACCTATAATATGATACAACGGTGAATACTTTGGTCTGGATAGCTGTATGCTGCCAGATTACAAAAATGAACGTATAACGTAAAATTAGCAGAAGAGAAATGTTTTCTCTTCTCCATTCTACAAAATATCCAACATTTGCTTGGGATCTGATGTTTTAAATGTGTAGCTAACACACCGCACCATCTGACCGCCTCGGTTAAGTGCCTGGGAAGCAGATAGTTTCACTCCTTGATCAGAGGTTCGAACAAAGTAAAAAAAAGGGGGACAAACAAAGTATAATGTGTGTTTGGAAAGTCCCCTGCAATCTCAAGCTCAAACCAGGCAGTCAAATTCATGCACTGGCCACCTGTAGATCTAGTCAGCCACTCTAGACGAACTCCCTGGTAGCAGAACCCACAGGTCCAACACCGACAACACCAAAGCCCGAAACCGGCTACGATCCTGAGCGAATTCCATCCATTTGCCATCCTCACAGCTCAACTCCCTAAGATCCATCTTGATGTTATCCTCCCATCTCCTTCTTGGTCTGCCCAGAGCCACTCTAAACACGACAGTGAAATGACATTTTGTTGTCGGTAACTTCAAGCCTGCAGACTGACCTCATAACAATCGCACACAGCGTGTCAGTATCGCTTAATCCGCATCAAGAAACAATCATACAACTGACATCATATTCAAATTGACACATTTCAACCAAGAATTGGAATTTCATTGTTTTAAAAGTACTTTACTCCACAAAACACAAATACGACTAAAACAGTAAAGTATATAAATAGTGCAATGTAAATAAAAGCAAAGTACTCATTAGAAAATAAATAAATCTTGACGACACTTAGGTCAGGACCATCACCACACAAAGCAAGGTCTTGTACTGTTAGAAATGTGGTATCTCACTGCCGACCCCTGACCTCACAACCTTCCCCAGCACTACCACATTATGGGCTAACTGCGCAAAGCCTGCAGTCTGCTCTGCATGTCTTCCAGCTCCTCCTCATCCTCCAGAACTGCCGATGCTCCGGCTTCCTCCGTCTCTCCAGCAGCAGGAAGGGAGTGAGTAACAGCTGCTGGGGCCTGTCCAAGTTGTCCTGATGTCAGCTCCCATAACACCTGCACACAAGGCAGTCATTTCCAGTGGTAAAGTGCTTCAAACAACCCACACTACATTAACCACAGTTTCTACAGAAACAAGATTTGGCACAACTGGAATCCTTGACAAGACGTGAAAATCAAGATACAGGTAAACCTCGATTTGCACCGCTTCAATTTGCGCCGATTCAGAATAACGCCGCTTTTGAAACCAGCAAGTCAAAAAGTGAAAAAAAAATATTTTACTATTATTTATAACGTTTTACAATGTTTCTCGTACTGATTCTTATTAAATCGTAATTCTTACATCGCTGATTTTGAATAAAAATTATAAATACAGTCACCTCTGCACTCATTGCTAAGTAATTGCGAGATAATCTTCTAAAAGTCCACCAACATTCCGCAACAGTCACGTGAGCACTGGTCACTCTTCACAGTGAGTCATTTGCGTTCAGCCTGATAAGGGAGTAAGGGAAAATGCGCTCAGTTCGCCTCTTGTTGACACATTGAATGTGCTGTTTGTGTTGTTCGACCACCATTCTGCAGTAGCAACTGTTTTATATTTATAAATTATAGAAGAGCCACCATGTCTGGTAAGAGAAGTGAATGTGTTGCTAAAAAGTTGCGTAGGTCTATTGCGTTAGAAGATAAGATGGACGTAATTTGTAGAATAGAAGGTGGTGATACCCATCATAATGTGCAGAAGTATGAAGTTGCCTCCTACCATAATGAAAAATTCATATAAAATAAAACAGTCAATACAACGCAAGTGAGAAGTAAACTTTTAGAAAGAACGGAGAAATTACTGTCGCTATGGGTGGTTGACATGAATCGAAAAAACATTCACTTGACTGAAATTACTATCACGGATAAGGCGAAGTCAATTTTTGAGGAACTTAAGTCGTCAATGTTTGGGTGCCGGGAACGCACGTCATCGACTTCCCATTGATTTACATTATAAAAAGAGTTTCAATTTACACTGATTCCATTTACGCCGGTTCGTCCAGGAACGCGTCCCCGGCGTAAATCGAGGTTTACCTGTACTACGAGTAAAGTTGATCCAGTTAAGGACAAAGTTGACAATGATGTTTTTCATGGATGACAACTGCATTCCTTAAAAAAATGAAGAGGTTGAATACATTACCTCTAGGGAGACCAAAGATGAGTTGAAAACATCAACCAAAGGAAAATATAAAATAAAAAGTGACACAGATACAGGATAAGTTCTGATGGCAGGTTGATTCTTGAGTTATTTAACAACACCTTTTAACATACGCAAGTTAGCAACCTCTTGGACAGATGACACCTAAGATTTAATGTCCTAAATATGAGTATGATGTAGTGGTACCAAGTGCTCTACCACTTATCGGAGAATCACAAAAGAATGAAGAAGGCATGTTCCTTCCCAGGGGAAACATCAATGGATGCTGCTGGTGATGACTAGCGAACAACCAAGCAGTCACACTCACCTTGTCAACCTCTTCCTGTGCCTCCTCCTCCAACTCATCTTGGTCTTCTAGGGTGTCCATTGTTTCCTCCATCATCTCTTCAATGATCCCAGCCTATACCAAATAAAAAGCAACTTAACAGCAATTCTGCACAAGACACATAGAATTTTCATAATCTTCTGGTATATGTAAGCAGCTGACAAAACTTCATAAAATTATTCTGCACATCAATAACATTTTTCATAGTACGCTGCGGCCAGCTAGACGAACTTCGGCGTTAATGGTTTAAAGTACGCCAATGCAAATGCAGGGTCAATCGGGTTGTGTGAAAGACATGATAAAGGTTAATATACCAACATAATTTCACCTGTTCCATTTCTTGCTCCTACACACTCGGAGAACATTCTGAGAGCAGAGATTTTCTCGAAATGTTGGCAGAAGACATGGTTTATTCACCATTCAGCCACCTGACTTGGCTTGTAAACCGAGAGCCTTTAATCGACCTATAAACAACAGTTGGTTCTATAAATTTCTGCCTCAAGCTACCTATAAACAACAGTTGGTTCTATAAACTTCTGCGTCAAGCCTACCCCTACTTTCCTTCACATGGTGAGGCTGGCAGAAACTATAAATGAATAATTATACGATTAATAAACCCATTTAAATGCATAATTTCCACTTGTACGGATTCTACGTTTCAAACTGTTAACATATAGAAAATGTTTTACAAGTTGATTGTGGATTTAGGAATGCATCAGTGTCTACGGTTCTTTGCACGTGTATACAACAGATATTAAAACAACCGTACCCCAATCAAGGGAAGACTTCATACACATGTGAACGTACACACAACAGGATGGTTCCCTAAACAGCAAAAACATGGCAGGCAGTACAGAGACCTGACAGTGGAACTGCAGTTAAAACTGCTAAGTTACAGAACATAAAGATGGCACATAACTTTCCGTTATGTTCGTGAATTGCTTCATTTGTAATTTCAATGGTTCATTAGCCATCACCATGAAACTGAAAACTACATATACATTCTTGGGGAGATTATCATATTGTTTTACATTCCACAAGAAATAATTACCTCATAAATTCTCATGTCAGAAATTCACAACCTAAAAAACACAAAGATGGAATAGACTTTGGTGGCACGATATTCATACACTTTCATAAAAATCTACCAGCTCGTTAATGGGGAGATCATATGCCTGTCTTGTTTTAAGAAAGAAGCTACGACACCAATAAGAAAGTTCTACCACGGGGACTGCCAACGTTACTGCCCTCAAAAGGGTTTCTGTGTAACTGCAAGACTTTTAAAGCAAAAACACAATATGCAGATATTTCTAATCCATTTCAATTTGCATCTTTTCTAGATTCACATTAATTTATTAGCTCCTTCTAGTTGCCTGTCACCCACAAAAGGTCGGTGATCCCCGATGTGACATCTGCAATGAACCACAATCTTAACTGTCACACCAGATCGATGCAAAAACACATTACAAATGTCATCTGATGAACTTCATCTGGAATGTACTGTCTTACCCTCATCATTTCCTTGGATAAATCTCGCATTGTAGCTGCCACCTCGGGCACACGAACCAGCGACTGCATTGCCTGCATCACTTCTGTTGACTTCTGGAGGGAGCCAGCCACTCTCAAGGTCGCTGCACAAAGAACACTGCACTTACTCACGTATAACAAGCATGTGTGGAAAATACACACACACCCTTATTTTTGGATTGCAATTTTTTTTAAAAAAACATGTATTCATGTAGAACACACTTCAAAATAAATAAAATATAAGAAGTAAGAATTATGTATTATGGGATGTCTGATATTAGGCGGGCAGAGTTAGCATTCATTATTGTATGCAATACTTAAAAATGAAACTGACTCAGATGTGAATTTGACAGTTCCATAACACATATCACAATAGGGTTGGTTTCTGGGTTGTAGCACTGTGTAGTTTGGTAGAAGTTTACTTTACAGTACTTTAAAAAAAGATGCATACAGACTCATGTAAAAGTTTAACAACAAAGATCTGTTCTTACCAAGCTGATTCTTCATCTGTAATTGTATGGAGTTGAGGTGTGCCTTGGATGTATGTATCTTTGTAATGGCTTTACGGGCCCTTACGACTTCTTTGGCAAGTATTGTACACACCCCCTTGTCACCTTTCTTTGCTGCATCCTTAAGTGAACGTTTAACCTTGTCTTCTTCACGCTGAATAGCTAAAATAAGAAGACAAATGATCATTTACCACTATAATGTTTCTAAACACCATGATATATGGCCACAGACAAAAGTAATGTATACCGCCTCCACTAAAAATTAACATAACTTTTGTACTGTATAAGCTACAAAGCTCATGAGGCTTGTTTTAAAGCACAATGTTCAAACGAGAATAGAAACCGAATCACAACTGAACTCCAAAAAAAAATCAGATAATTTAAAATGAACTAAAGGAAACAGAACTAATTTAGCACAGCCTAACTGAAAACTGCCCAGGCAGACACAGACAGCAGCACACTTACATATGCCAGTGCAACCTAACCTAACCCAAAAGCTAACTACCATGCCTGCCCAAATGCTAAATAGAGCAACTTCAAACCTGACAATGAAAGTCATCCCAACCAGAGATCTGCAGGTGGTATGCAACAGAATACAAGAGAGTTGCCTAACCTAACCCAACCTAAGTGCTTAGTAGTCACAGGTGGTTACAACTTAAACAAAACAGGTTTGTTTGTTAGGCTGAACTATGTTAGATCAAGTCTTCTCTAACCTTTCAAAGAACTAGTACTATGGTGCACACAATGACACCAACCCAAACATCACGTAGTGTAACACCCATGTGAAAATTGCAAAAAAAAGACACTTAAAAAGAAACACACATAACATTTTTCTTCTAATACTTACTGTCGGTAGATAAAACACATTACGCGTAGTTTTTATTTTAATTGCCATGTTATAAGAATTTTCTTAGCATGTGTCTTTATAAAAATTATGTTCATTTTTTAATGATCAAACAATTCGGTGACGAAATAAAGAAAACACAGTACACAGCACAAATGTGTACAAAATTTATACATTACATAAGTGGCCTGGAAAGAACATCGAACATGTAAAATCTCTGGGGTGACGTCAAGAGTGTAATAAATATTAGAATAGGCTGTAAACGAAACTGAAGACAGAACCACACGCCATCATTACACAAAACGAAATGAAACTTACAAACAAATGTCATACAACTTTCAATTCGTATTCACCTCTTATTTGTCGATCAAGCTGAAAGCCCTCTTTCCTTATTTTATGCGACCACTCGTTTACCTAGAAGAACGAACATATCCTACTTAGGTTACACCCACAGATGTATACGTCAAAAAAGTTGTGGAATTGAAGGCATAATTTTACCATGTCCTTAGGGTTCTTTTCTTGCGACTTTCCAAACAAACCCATGACACAGTTACGTTCTAGCACCAAACACTAATATTTTGCTTGTCAATATATTACAACGTCAACATAAATTCACAGTTAGAATTAATCGTGTTTGATAAGGAATTGCAAACACTCCAGATTACAGAAAACCTCAGATAGGTAATTGCATCATAATCTAGAAGGCCGAGACTCAGACGTAACCAGAAGTACAGGCTGTAAGAGAAGTTACTGCATTTGATGTGGCCAAGGATGTGCCTAAATACAAATAGGGTAGTCAAATTCTGGACACTAAATTCAGAATACTGTATATGAATAAAACAAACTAGGAAATGCAAGCACAACGTACATTTCTGACACGTTCATGTTTCTTATATTGCCTCCACATTTTCATTGTTTGAATATTAACTTGTAATGCTCTTTCATGAGCAGGTTTGACAGACGAGCAAGGACTCTTTAAAAATTTTGATAAAAGCGATGCACCGGTGCCTGAATTGCACTTTTACAGCAGAAATTCAGTTTCGTAATTATCTCGAAAACCGTGACTTGCAAGATGCGCGCAGAAAATCATGCAAGTAATTGTGAAGTGTTCACTGTTGTCCGATTTTAGTAAAAACTTGAATGTGTAATGGTGCAATTCTCTTTCATCAAATTTCATTATACCTGCCACGGGTCTCGTTATGTTAAGGCAGACATATATGGCGAAAACAATCGTCCACACTTCCCAGTTTCCCCACGCGACACACCAAAGAAAAAAACAGTTTGGAAAGGAGATTTTAGACATTACAACAGTTCCTAGTAAGGAAGAGAGTTAAATGCGACCCCCGAAAGTTTTCCTCAAAAAATAGGTACCGAGGCGTAAATAAAATCGATGCATCGATAAAAAATCTCACATTATAAAATTTTTCAAGTAGCTTAATATCACTCAAAAGTGCATTGGTTAGGTTTTCATTGAAACACGATTGTTACTGCTATAACAATTATAAATCAGCCAACAAAACACACTTAGTCCTCATAGACACCGGAAAATTCAGTTCCTACCTCGAAGGAACACAATACATCACCCTTCCAGAATATCAATCAGTTAATGCTAGTTTTGAATAAATAGATTATATCAAGAAAATGATCTTATATAAGGCAGTAATTAAAACTATCCAATTTGAATTAAAATAGGATTTAAGGTTCTCTTGCCAGGTAGTATGAAGATGCCTGTCTTCTGGTAGGAGGTATTTACTGCCTCCAACATCAGGGAAAATTCTGATCATGGAGGCAGTATCTCAGAAATGTCAGGAAAGATCTATTAGACTATATGGCACTGCAACCCAGACGACAGCCATCTTTTTTGTGAATGCAACCCAGAAGACAGCCATCTTTATTGTGAACATCAAATTTCAAGTTGTTACTCACATGAAGTATGATTTTAATGTGTGCTCCACAGGGTTGCAAATGTGGCCATTTAAAACACAACCCAACAACAATCACATGCTACAGTACAAAATTAACTCAGAAGCAGGTTCACCCCCATGAATGAACCCTTCTGACCTCTCCTGTGACACTTGAGACAAAGTCACCCTTGTTGCTAGGCCAGGGGAAAAGAAGCTGTGCATGTGTAAAGATGGTGTATTCACAAGCAGAATGCATATTCATTTTCAAATATTATTTAGCATCAAAATTGAAGACTGGTGGAACTAAAACATGATGAACCATTTTCAGTATCTGCTGTAAAGCTATTCTGTAACATCTTCTTAAAAATAAACTGTTGTAGTAAAGCTTGTATTTTAAATGAAACACCTGCGCATCATTTCGTGAATGAATACTGTAGATTTTTAAATTAATACAGTCACTGTACAACAGAATCAGAATACAGGAAAATGTAATTACAGTAACTGATACCTTCTGTACTTGAAACTGTATCCACACTTATTCTGAAACTGAGAACTGAATAATGCATACATAATTTTAGTGGAAAAACCTCTTGGGATTAAAGACAACTGGCATGTGTAGATAACATTGAAATAGATGTTAGGGATAAATCACATCCACTGGTGAGCTTCAGTAATATTGAAGTTAAACAGATTCATCTACCAGGAAGTTAGTTATTATTCGGTACCGGTAGTTATCTTTGCTAAAGACTGAAGATTAGTCAGCCATTCCTACTCTTGGTTCTGGGCAAGAATATATACAGAAAAGAAAGTGCTACAAATATACGGACATAAGACAGAGAAAGATATCAGGTAACTGATGGAGTACATTTTGCTGTTCTCTGGATATTGTCAGGGTAATTAAATCAAGTTTATGACAGGATGAGCATAAAGCACAGCTGGAAGAAATGTATGTGAAATACTTGTCAAGAAACATGTGGAAAGAAGCAGTAATTTGGCCCTTTTAATGTAACAAGTCTACCAAGAGTAGAATAGGACAAATTAAAATCACAATGAATGATGCTAATTTTTTTCAGGCAAGGAAAAAGGAACAATATTCAGAACAAACATATGCTCAAGACAAAGCATGATTTTATTCTCTTGAATCTATCACAGAATCAGATATTTCAACCACATGCTGTTATCTGTTATATTCCACCGTACGACGGAAACAAAATTCAGAAGCAAAATATTCTGTGAAACATACTTAATAACATACTGATACATTGTACAATTAATTGCATTGCTCATTCAGCCACCCATTGATGCTGTAATTTAAAAATAATACATTCACAAGGAACTTATGTTATGAACCTAAGATACATGGACAGAGTTCACAAGAAAACAATGATGCATACTTTCATGTGTTACATCCAGCAGTAGTGCCATCCTGAAGAAAGTGTTCATCTGTTTGTGTACTCGTAAGTAGTGTAATCCATTTAGTGCAACAACTGCTTTGCTCCATACACCAATTCAAAAGAAAACATTACAAAAATGAAATCCCCTGAATCATTTGGCACACCAGACTACATACTGTAATCAGCTACAACGTATAAAAACTGGTGTGTGTACCTGGTTTATTTAACGATGCTTTCAACTGCCAAGATCATAACAACATTGAATAATAGGATCATTAGTGAATTATGAAGTGACTGGAAAGGGTACAGTCATGGCCTAACTTAAGGAAATATACTGTAATTTGTTTGTAGGGGCTGAAGAAAACCATGAAAAACTTCAGTGAGAATAACTAGTCTTCCAGGCCACGACTTGAACCTGGGAGTCCAAAATACAATGCCAGATTGCTGACCACTCAACTGTGACATCTGCCATTCTTACACTAACAGCTGTCCTTTCAGTCAACACAGGCTTTCATCTACAAAGTGTTTCTTAGCTTCCAAGTGGCTTCGCACAAAAATCGTGAAGAAACACTTTAATGTTCCAAGGGAGGTAGATCTAGTTGAGGGCATAAAGACATTACCTCAATCGCGGGAACAGGACAACCTACTTACCTGAAACTAAATATAAGGGCTGCCAACTGATTCACTCTAAAAATGCAAGAATTCCAAAGCAATTATTTTAGTAACTGTTCACACATCTGCTCCCATATCTAAGTTTTGTTGTCTGCCAGACAAAAAATCTGACCTATGACATGAGAAAACAGAAAAGTCTCAGTTCCTTGCATATATGTAGATTGATTGGCATTAATTTCTTTCCCATGTAATACTGCAAACAACTAGAGAGAGACAGACAGGCTGAGGGATAAATCAGCAGTGGAGTTCCTGGGAGTAAATGTGTAAAGCAGAACTGTAATCTAGAAGCAATACATAAAAAATTACAGAAACCAAAATATCGTTCAATATAGGCTATACAAACTACTCTGCACCATGTAATGCAAATCAATTTGCATTACATGTATCTTACACATTTTTGCATCAGCATTTGGAAACACAAGCATTTAGAAGACATCTTACATCTCTCTAATAATGTACAACCATAAACAGATTTTCTTCTTTTAACTCTGCTTCATTCAGCACAAACTGATGCAGAAAATTGAGATTTTCTTCTTTTAACTCTGCTTCATTTAGCACAAACTGATGCAGAAAACTGAAAACTTTAAAATGTTACTCTTACAACTGCTACTAAATGTAGAAATTAATTTCATTATGCAAAACTTTTACATCTGTTAGCATTCTTTTTCAATCTACAGTCCATACCACAATTGGCACATTGCATCACATTACTGAAGACAGCCGTCTCCTGAGACGTTACATCGCGTAGTCCAGTAGATATTGACCAACATATCAGAGGAGTTTACTGCCTCAGGGTGACACTAACCTGATGATGGAAACCTCAAACCCACACATTAAACATACTTCAACTTCAACACCCCTACTTCTCATATTAACAGTAATGTAGATGCTAATGGTATTACAGTTCATATTGCAATGTACACATCAAATGGTTCAGCCTGGCCTGAGGTAATGTTAACAGAATTAATTAAAGCGCACAAGAAAAGCTGAAACATTAACATAATTTGAATGCATAATAATGTTCATATAGTTTCTAATAGGCATTTATAAAACAAAAGTACACAATGAAGACTTAAAATCTGAAGAGAGATGCAAATGTCTTGCAGAACACGTCAAACAGCGCCAAAACGGAAATCTAAATGTATCACAGAAATAAAATACTCGGTCAGTCTTAGCCAAACCACTGGAAAATCAGTCCAACCACTTATTTACCAGGACTGATAGCACGGTCATGACGTGCCTGAAGTCCAGACAGTTACTATTGGCATGTTGCACACTCAATGACCTCATCATCTCAAGAACTGGCCCTTCGCTTCTGAGAAATGTCACAACATGACACTGAGGCACCAAACACTGCCCCATGCTTCTCTTTCCAAATACGGCCTGGATTTACTTAGCATCTACAGACTACAAAATCAACATTACACTAGCAGAAAATGAAGAGATAAAATGCCAACCTGGCAGTTTCCTAATGCCCTATGTGAATTACAGCACTGAGTTTTCAAATGGTGACTGTCGATTTCATTATCAATTTTCTTGGAGATGGCTGCCTTCTGGGTTTTAGCGCCGTGTAAGTTTACAAACGTTGCAGAGGTTCGTGCTGCCTCCATCATCAGTGCAATGATCACCCTGATGATGGAGGTAGCAAGGACCTCTGAAACATTGGTAAACTTCTGCCAGACTACACAGTGCTACAACCCAGAAGACAGCCATCTTCACTCACTGCCATGGTAAACTCAAATCCCCAAAAGTTTCATGTTATAAAATAAAGTACACAATTATACAACATGAATGCCAACTTTTAAACAAAACAGTATTAACGATGACAAATGACCCTCTCCTCCCCACTTCTTCAGGTTACTTACAAGGTCATAATAGAATTCTAACATCAAATAATCAGGAAAGTGACAAAAACAATATTACATAGCAAAAGTTAGAGGGAAACCAACAGCTCGTGTAACTGATGTGCAGAAACACACAAAATTAATGTCTGTAAGGTGTGTGTTGAGTGTCAGGCCACATACAGCAATCCAATCCAAAAACATCTATCTGCAATGTGATAATTTCAATTACTGATAAGTTTACACGCATATAAATTATGCTTATGAATCAGTATGTTTTGCAACAGATCACAAATTACTTCACTGTCTGTCCCACAGGATCAGACAAGACAGCAGAAGAATGCCTGCGGGGATAGAGATAGGCACACTGCCACCCGTCCCCTCACTGGTATCGGTACTGTGACCCCTTCCACTCTCAAGCAGCCACCTGTGCATGTATATAACACCAGTCCTTGGTTTCCCTGTACACTAAGTTCTATTTACCACAAAATTTCTCAAATCTCAGTTCTAAGGGCACTGAAATACAAATTTGTACACAAGCAAAACTATCTAGAACAAACTTAATGTTCCAGCCTCCCACAACTCACTTCAAAAGAGAGACTGAACAAACCAAAGTGTCTAATATTTGTGTTTTTGCATCTGCTTTACTATTTATATCCTTGATTTAAGCAAACTGCTAACTTAAAAAACAATAACAGTCGTGGCAATGATACATGCCAGGTGCAGTCACACACACTGACGCCCGTTAGTACCATCACAAATGATTTAAACATTTTGTCCACTGACAGCTGGTACACAGTTCCATCAGAAACTTTAAATTAATGGCTGAGACACAAACATGATTAATAGAAACGGTATGTGACAAGTCTCTATGTTATGTCTTACAAAACAAGGTACAATACCCAACAGGAGTTCTCTGTAATCAAATATTACAAAAGTGGAATCCCAAAAGGATTAGCATAAGCATCCCATAGGTAAGATTCACACAGGTTGGTATTAAAAGCAAATCCAATATAAGCCATGGAAAACAGGATCCTCAATATATGTTCTTCCCCTAGGGCAAGGGACAAAGTTTCATGCCAATTCAGAATTTAAAAAAAAATAAAAAAGATAGTTCTGCATACCTTTAGGTGCACAGGCATAAAAAGAAGATAAAACATTTTGAACTGAATGGTCAAAACATAGCTGAAACACGTAGCATGGAAAAAATAACACTAATAGTTACTAGAGAATGAACGACAAGGATCTACATGTTTCTGCATTCCACTTCAGGGAAGCCATTTCTCCTTAAAATTCAGAACGCTCACAAGACAGCATACTGCTGCAATGTTCGCTTCCAACTTCCTTATATTAGAAGGTATGGATATTCGGATTAATTTATATTCCCATCTTTCACAGAACAAGGATTCCATTTTGGAGTGATTTCCATTACCAAAAACAAATAATGATCGCAGGATTAGGTCCCTGACAGGAATGTGAAGCATTGCAGCAACACCTTAAATACTGTATTCTTCACATATGTAATTCACTTTTATTTTCTATACTACGCAAGACACATAACTAATTAACTAATCTGTTTGAGCTGCTTTTATCCTATGTACATGTAAAAGCATCATCCTCATAAATAAGTTATTTTACAGTATTTAACATCTGCAGAGACCAGGTACAGCTACCACTTACCCTTCGTCTTTTAATAGGAGCACAAGTTCAACAATTCCTGTTCCTCTGCCCTTCAAATGTTCCCAGGCAAAACGGTCCGCTAATTGCTCTTCTTACCTATTACTTTCCACCTCTTTTAATAACCCACACCATGCGAGCAACTCAGCAGGATGAAACAATTCTTGGTAGAGACAATGAAATGTACAGACATTTTTCCCCATGTTCATCGTATTACTCTTCTAAGGTTCATCAATTTCAACTCTTACTGTATAAGTTTAACTGAGGATACCTAACTCCAGGGGGCAGAGTAATTCTTGAAAAGCTAATAGTTGCTCAGCTAATAAAGATAGTCCCAGGCTTTTGCAGAACTAGGTGTTTTATTAATCGCTGAGTTCGTAAGTGCACAATATTTTAATGATGGGAATTACCAAAACATTTGTTATTTCATCACAAAATGTATACAATCAACAGAATAAAGAAAATACATTGTGCTTCATGTGATAGGGCACCTATAATATATTGTTTCTATGACCACCACAGAAGTCTTACTCTAATGTGGGTAAGCTAAACCATTCATCACCACAGCAACGAATCACACAAACCAGGTAGAATATATAAGGGGAAAATCAAGTCAGATAATTTAGGGCCCAAACACATATCAGAGAGCTACCACATGTGTGATTAAAGAAATGTTATCTAATTTCAAATCTCTGTGGATCTTCCTCCTCGTGAGCTTACACACTTACACACACAGTTTATCTAGCTGTAAAATTATCTTTAAATTTAAAAATTATTCAATTGATTTCATTTTCCTATTACAAAAGATATGACAGTAACAAAATTTATTCAATCTTCTTCTTGCGCAGACAATCATTACACTCAATATCAGTCGCAGTTACCTTGCCTTGGCGATTTCAAGTCTTACACAAAGTTGTTTCCTTCTTTCAGTTCAGAACAGACAGAAATGGCTGAAACTATGATGATAGAAATCATGAATGTAAGTACAGGGCATCTTGTTTCCAGCACAACACATTTCCCCCCCCCCCCTTTTAATCAAACTTCTTCACACAAAGAAGTGGCCATATGCAACACTTTCCACTACATATGAAAGTACAAGAAGTGCAATAAATAAAATTGTGTAACATTACCTCACGCACACTCATTCAAATTATCCACTAAAAAAATAATTTATTTGTTCTTTCAAAAGTGAAGGGAAGTCATAGTGCAACTGAGAAACAAACATCATGAGATCTACTTACATTACCCATCAGCATATAATTCCAAGCGCTGCTTGTCTCGATGTAGACATCACACACTGTGAAGTTCAGAGCAGTGCTCACATTGTGCATGCTCTGATCGGTGCTGATGTCTACCGAACTTCAGCAAAGAATATGAAATGGAATAGGACTCGAGGATTTCACGGCAGCGAGTTCAGAGATGGCCATCTTCTCGGTTGCAGCTTATCGCAACCAAGTCAACAGATGTGCAAGGTTTCAAAAACGTAACAACGATTCAATAAATCAGTTTTATTGTGCACAGTTTCCTCCATAAACATGATCCAATTTATCAGAATCATGCCATGTGGGCACTGATTAGCTCATACTCAATTCTCCCAGCCACGCTTTTACCCCTTAGGGGAAAAACCCCAGTACCCACTGGGCAGGAGGCTGGGTGGGCCCCAGAGCCAGTCTGGATGCAGGGGCTAGAGGAAAATCTTCTGCCTTTGTCAGGGATTAAACCTCAGCTGTCCAGTCTGTAACCAGTAACTATACAGACCGAGCTGAGATTGATAAGTTAAGACAGTTTACTGATGTGGCTGTAGGAACCATACTTCAAATACTTTGCTTAATTCAGTACAGAGAATCAGTCATCAGAACGAGCAACATTTGAGCACTGCTCGACATTATACACTGATGGGTCAATACCACACAAAGATATTAAGTGTTACACTGTAAATGTTATTTGTCTAATGAAATTACATCATTTTGCAATATTTCTGAACTTCTTAAGCTAGGAGTAAGTATGTTAAGTTTATCTGCAATAAATATCCAACAGCTTTCCAATTTACAAACCTCCACAGTACCTTGAGTGAATTGTAGTTTCAACCCAAGCACCTTCACTCACACTTAAATCTGTATTTTTTTTAAAAAAAAATCAAACAGCTCTCCCATAGGAAACTGTGGTAACAAATGTTCTGTCATAATTCGTACGGCTATAAATGTCAGAATGCAGGGGTCTTCCCAAAAGTTAATACAACTGAGATAAGAAATCATTTATACAAACTGAAAAATAATACACAGAACTTCTACAGGTTAGTTCTGAGTAAAACATTCATATTTTAAACACATATAAAATGTTATCTTCTAATGACTAACACGCGTGTGCGCGTACACATGCACACACAATGCACATCCGTGGTTATACACATTCACACAGACCTGCTAATGCATTAAAACTCGGCTAATGCTCACTAAACGACAAGCATAGGACATTGAGTACGCAAAGGGCTAACACATCACTCCTCAGCGGGCACATTTCATTGGCTACGTTATTCAACAATCAATGATGATCTATTCTGAGCGACTACATGTACTTCACTAAGTGACATCCCTAGTCCAAAGATTTGCTGATAAACATGTCCTGCTATCAGAAAACAAGTACGGACATGCAGTACATAAAGTGGTCCAAAATGTAGGTACCAAGTTTAAACTCAATTTCTTTCGTGAGTAATTATACTTGGAAGAAACTCGCTGACACACCATAGTACTCGAGCCATTTGTTTTCATTCCATTTTGTACAGATGTACAGCACAAAGTAGCAGATATTCAACTCTGTAACGAAATCTCGCAAGACATTGCCAGTTTTGGACAGTTACACTCTAAGTGGCAGGCCTTCAACGGCAACGACTGAAACCAACCTTAAAAACATTCAAGAGCAAAGAGACTGAACACACGATGATAAAAGTGGCTTGAGATGCTGATGTGAGTGGTTATTTGAATATTTTTATGCCTTATCATTTTGGTGAAATAAAGCATTAAAATTCTAGGAACAATTTGGACCACCATGTATATAAGAAGCACATAACATAGTTGTGGATTTGCAAGTAATAATGTGAGCAACGTTTGCAGAATTTGCTTAAAAAAGCTGATTTTTATATTCAAGTCAATAAATTGTCTTCTTCACCCTTAGTGAGGGATAATATTCTTCTTGCCTGAAATGAGTGGGACTGTCTTTGCATTAACGCCAGAGTGTCAATAAAATTATTTAGATCTGAAAAATTTGATGATGATGATATTCAATCCATAATAACACTGAATGTCTGCCTGCAATTTCATCTATCTACTAAGATACTTATTTTGTTCACACAGTCAACAAATCAGTCACGAAAGAATGGCACAGAACAGTGTGCGCAGAACATGCATCACTGTGAAAGAAAATATTTGTCGGGGCACGAAAAGCGTGCTCCTGTGGAGTTAAAAGATTTGTTAAATCTCGGTGTCAAGAAAATGGTATGAAAGTGAAACAGAGAGAAGGTATCGTTAAATAAAAATATTTGAAGCAACTCTTGCATAATTACATATCAAGAAATCGGCCCTGTTCCACGTATTTTCAAACTCGGCATACTTTCCTCATACTCGTCGCCAAGATGCTTTCAGTTGTTTCTTGAAAATTATATTAATGAAATCTGCTGTAAATGTCTCAAGACTATATAGCTCAATATATATACAAACAACCGTGATATTCTGAGGTAGGTTGGTGAGTGAACTTGCAAGTTTTCAAAGGCAGTATCTGTACAACACAAGATAAAAATGTCTTCAAATGAGAACATTCGTTACTTAAACTTTAAAAAAAATAGTGAAATCCTATAAAAAGGCACTGATATACATACGTAAGAAACGATTCTGGTTCACGTATTGTTTCTACTGTTTTCTGTAGTCTTCATAAACAGAAAAATACATAGTTTTTTATACTGCCATAAAACCAAACCTCATAGACAGGAAATCATTCAACAGAGAAATGTAAATATTTCTGGATGCTAATATCTAAGAACATTCTCCAAACTAGTTCCCTACATTACACAGTACTAAATAAGATTAATGAATCACTACAAAATACTGATTAATACAGCACAGATATTACACTGCTGCATAAAATGACTGGCTGTCTACACAAATCAGTCCAGGTTATATAAATATAAGACATCTCACATTCTTTATTAGATATGTAATAAATTTAAAAATTGCCACAACTAATGAGACTTCTCAAAACCAAATAACTGGGCCCACAGTCTGTAAATATGTTAACGGGATGCAACTGCAAGTAAAGATAGAAAAAATATCATCACAGACCAAAGAGTCAGTCACACACAGGCAGAAAATCATTGGAAGACAATAGTAATGTATCGGCCACACTGACTGGTATTCCGCATGGCCAACGCTGCACAATTGCAACATTATATTAAAGTAGGCGTCTTCATAAATATCAATACACCAGGTCTTATGAACAATGTTCCACAGTTTCCCCAAGGACCACCACCAGCACTGGCTGCATGCGCATTTCCTCGGCAGTGTAACGTCATCATTTACATGATCTGGCTGTTCAAAAATACCCCACCAAGTTTAAGTCTTGGCTTTGTGTTAACTGGGCACAAGAGGGAAAGTATACAACAGTAGGAACCAGCGTCGGGAACAACGTACTACAACACATTACTCAGTTCTTCTATCTGTATAATATTAACAATAACAATGACAGCTCCTATAAATATGTACCTGTGTCAAGCCTTGCGTTTGTGCAGCTTTGCTTGTGCTTCGCGCAGCAACAGGTCAAAAGAGTTCTCACTCTGAGACCTGCCACTACTGATAACTGCTGGTGCCCCTCGCACGTCTCCATTCAGACCGGACAAAGGTTCACTTCTAGTTGCCATACCATCTAAAAAAGAGGTCACATGTGTGCACACAGTGAGCGAATGCCAACGTGTTAATATGGTATAAATAAGCGTTCTTATGAACGAAGAACACCTCATGGGGCAATCCATGTATGTCTGTCTGTGCAACATGCTTTTTGTGGGAATAATCGACTACATGGCCAGGGTTCCCGTTCCAAAGGGAGCACTCGACATGCATCGCTTGAGACAGCATTATTGAAAGAATGACCCCGGACAAATAAACTGAATCACATCACTGCCTACGTGATGTGGAGTGAAGAACGCCTCCAGAGTGTCAGTGTACTCCAAGGAGCACAACCTTCTAATCTTGTCCACTGCTTGTCATTCTTAAGGAATTTTGACATGGAATAACAGATAGAACATATTAAAACTTCTCTTTTTGTCTCTCTGTTTTCAAAAGACAGATATTTGTTAGTTTTCTGGATAAATGGCAGAACCTCCAATGAGGAATGGTTCGATAATCAATAGTACGCCACCGAAAGACGTTGTTTCAGCTCTGCAGCTGGGTGCTTCACAGATATAACTCCGTGTTAACATTACTCATCACATTTAGCACTATCAGAACACTGAACTAAACGCATGCGCCAATCCTATACGTCTCAGACACAATCCAAGTGACACACAAAAGCAGAACGCACGATACTCCATTTCCATCAGTATCTTAAATGATACCACGTACCTAAGTCAGAGTACCGAGTCTTGCAGAAAACCCGTCGACCTCCAAAGCAAAGATCATAACGTGGCTGATTAGGGTCATCATTTCCATGCTCCACAGCCTCGTATGCATCCATTTTGTAGGCAAAAGTGACAAAGCCATAATTGTCACTGCAACAAACATTGTAACCATTCTGTACCAAAGATTCGCTGCAAAGATAACCAGATGAAAAATGTAATTTATCTACCACTAACCCAAGTGATTTGCCACCTTTTACCAAGTATTTTGCTCAATTGGTATGAAAGTGATAAATGTTGAAATTCAGACTCGCACAGGAATTTATTAAATAAAGCAAGATGCCTCTCAATCAGTACAGTGATCAATGTTTTATTTCCAGTGGGGCAGGATTCTTCCCTATACCAGCATCCAGGCCAGTTCTTGGGTTGACCCTCCTCCCAATGCAATGCACACCAGTCTTCTCCCTTTGGGGTAAAGCAACCAAGGTGTGAAGACATACGTATACTCCCCCATTTAGTTGCATGATGTGGCACTTACATTGCTTGAAATTTTAGGCTTGTACCATCAACACTTTAAGAGCTATACACTGAAATCTTAAGTCATTCCCCACCACTTAAATCATATTCCTAGAGTTCAATATGAAAAAATTACTAGGTCAATGGGGAAAACTAACAAGAATATTTCATTCATATTAATTTACAGTATTTCAGATTACAGCAAAATCCCCATTCAAGGTTTCTTTGGGGTGCAATTAATTTGAACACCAAATGTAGGAAAATCTAAATGAAGGAAATTTAATACTGAGATTACTGACTTGGGATAATGAAATCCAGCTCTGTATGAGGAAAAACCTTAAGCAGAGACACATTCAATAGTGATTTCACTGTATAAGTTATTTGTAAGAATCTAATAAAAAGTGGAATTAAAATAATGTAAAGAACCAATCAAGATTTTCAGAACAGCACTGAGTTACAAGACGTTCCATTATGCCAAAGAAACATACCCATGCTCCCTGAAGTGAACACTGATGTCTAAAATGCGACCAAACACTTCAAACCGTCTCCTCAACTCCGCCTTCGACGTTCCTTCCTCAATACGACCCACGTAAATCACTCGTCTCTCCTCCACCTGTCTTTGCTTTTCACGCTCATTCAACTGCCAGTCCTCAGCCATGTTGTTCCAGTTGCCATGCTGTGGAGACCGGGATCTGGAGAACCAGAGGAAGAAAACAAACATCACACTCTCCATAAGCTTTGTCATGTTTCCCTGAATTTTCATCCAATGACATCGCTGAAAGCCTGAAGACTATTAATGGCAGCTGCTGTGAAAGCTTTAGATCCCAGAAAGCTCATGTAAGCTGTTCTAAAGGCAAAACAAACATATCACAAAACACACTCTTCAGTAAGTTGTTGTGAATAAAATTGTCATCAATATTTTAATGTGCCATAAGCAAACAAATCTTCGGACACAGCCGATATCCTCTCTACACAGAAGCCCATAAAAATTAACTATATCAGCTTTTGGCGAGTGGCCGCTTGGTCTCCTTGGAAAGTGATCTGGTCATCGTGCACAACATTCCTGCGAACGACTTCACCTCTAACTTACACGAGACTCATAAGCTCGGCCTTTAAACCCTAGTACCCCATCCTACAAGCAACCCACACCCTGTGCCCCGTGCATTTCAGTTGCTCAGGAGAATATGTTGCAGAATGCACTAAATTTCTTTTACATGTGTGGTGAGATCCTCTGAGGCTTCAAAACTTATCAGCACTCCCCAAAACATCACATTCTGTTTTTCTTGCGGTACACTTCAAAACTCACTAAAACACAGCCCCACATCACACTCCTTGCATTTTACTCTCGTTCATATCTCTCATGCAAAATGGCTGTGACAATTTACTCTTGATTAATGAATTGGAGAATGATTGCTGAAATTTATCTCAAGTCGAGTCAACTTTTCTATCACACAAGGCAAACTCCCAGCATTCTGAATCAAGTTTCGCACGATGGCAAGTTGGAAATTTCTACATTTCGTTTTGGCATCACATGATGGAAGGAGGAGGAGGAGGAGGAAGCAGTTTACAATAGTAAAGTCCAACTGGTGGAAAAGAAATGTTTGTCCATGTCCAACAGTTAACTGAGCAACCACCTGTCATCTTTGTCAAAGTATCCTTTATGCTGGTTATAGTCTTGTACAATTTGTAGCTTCAAAGCATTTTCATGTCAGTCACAAAAGTTACCTTCTATTACTGGTGGTCTTCGAAATGTTTTTGGACAAATAGTTACCTGGCCGATGGACTGGCACAGGAGTTCCAAACAGTCGGCCTCCTGTTCTTAGACGACACCTCATTAGATCTATTCTATGGCATTATGTCAAAGAAAGAGTAAAACTCTGATAACATAGAATATGAGTTGTCACGGATAGCATCACACCAAAAACGCTGGAAATAATGTGGGAAGAACTGAGTCTCCACGTGGACATGAAGCATGCACTACAATGACATGACGAGACATTCGGCAGGAAACTTCAGTGACCTTGATTTTGCTGTAAGCTTCATCTTTTCATCTATAATACTGAAATTACTAAGAAATTAATTTGTATTATCACTGCCCACTATATAAATTATAAATGAACAATGCTAAAATAAAATCGCACACACCCTTGTCAGAAACCTGGATATAACCCTGTTTACTATGGATTTGTGAAGTTGGTTGAGAAAGAAACGTTGTATACTCATATATACGGTTTTAGAATTCTTACATGTCGATGAAAAAAAAAAGAGATGCAAGTAAAGAAAAGTTGGTTGAGAAAGAAACGTTGTATATTCATATATACGGTTATAGAATTCTTACATGCCGATGAAAAAAATCTGTTCACAGAACCAGAACATGTCCCAATGGATGCCACTTACAAATGTCATGAATTGATGATAACTGTATGTTAGAACTGAGCATGAAGCCATCACATGACTGACTGCAGTGTTTGGTCAGATTATAAATGAAAGAAGCAAAGATGTGGACAACAGCATTGACTGATAAACGAAGGGTAACAAAAATAATCCTAAAAAACAAACTGAAGGAAAGGAAACAAAGAGATGCAAGTAAAGATTACAAGAAGCTGCAGAACAAATAACAAAGAATACAGGAAGAATAGTTTGGGCAATGGTATGTGGGGGTCCCCATATTTAACTTTTGTGATCAGGCAAAAACTGGATTAAATGCACCAATATATTTCTGTTATCATCACATCATTTACAACTGAAACGCAGCCAGAAGGCATTGCAAGTTAAAGCAAGAGAGTCTCATAATAAGGATCCAAAATTACATACAAAATGCCAAATTTTCAACTTACTGAAAACAGCAAAGTGTCTCCTGTGTTGCACCATTCTTGGACCAGACTATACTGCCTTCACCATTTACTATTATTTTTGCTTTCTCCAGTGAAACATGCCATTTTTAAAAAACAAAATAATGGGTCTCCTGCAATAAACTGAAGGAAGATAGAAAGACGTGTACCTCCTCCACCTACGAGACACTGCATAATTTCTATCAGACTTCCTGCGGTCTCTTCCATACTGATCATACTGTGGCAAGCGGCGCCATCTCTTGCTTGACCCTGAAGGACTCCTACGAGACGGCTTGGCACCGCTGCTTCGGGATCTTGACCTACTACGTGATGAATAGCTGAAATGCAATAATCGATGTGTAGCAAAGAACAGTACAAGAAAAGTGAAATAATATATACAATGGAGCTTATTACAAAGTTCTGAAGTTGCATACTTCTGAGGTGTTGTTCCAAAAACACAAAGCCCTTATGTGCCACAAATTGAAATAGTCTTCAATTTTATAATTTATAACGTATACTTCAAATTAATTCTAACAGTTAACACCAAGACATGGAACCGTATGAAGAGAAACAGAAGCAAAATTCAAGATATGGATACAAAATTTTATAGACGTATTGCAGGAAAAACAATAAGGGGTAGAATCAGAAGTGAAGACTTCAGAGCAGAAACTGGAACTCAAAATCTGTTAACAGAATTAGACGAGAAATGGTAACAACAGTTTGCTCGTGTGAAAAGAATGGACATAACAAGTACACTGAGAAAGGCATTTTCATTGAAAGTGGAAGGAAAAAGATGCATGGAATGTGCCATGAGATGGGTAAGAGACGACAAGAAATAAAAAAGGAGAGACTGTGGGAAGACTGAAGTGATTGGAGACCTCTTGTTCCCTGCCCCACATAAAACAGAAATGCCAGAAGTAGCGGTGATCTCCAAAATTTAACAAAACTAGAGGAATGACATAACAAAATCAATGGCGCGTCAAAATTACATGGCAAAAGATTTTTCTTCCTGGATAAAATAAGATGCACTTTACAGAATTTTATTCCCAATTCCTGGAAATGACCTTGCTTTTCTTCTTTCACTATTTGTTACAGGTGAAATTTTATGAAACAGGGGATATTTCATTAAATGAGTCATCTTTCATTATAGCAGGGAATTTTTGCTTTGTTGGTGATTCTGTGTATAACAGTGCCATCATCAGTGTAATGCAGGCCTCTATCCTCAAGGGTGTGTGTTACTACTGCTGAATGCAGTAAATAATAAGCATTGCCTAACCATTTAATGAAAAATCTGAAGAGAGTTGTTCACAATGCACTAATAAGAGTTTCTATGCTATTAAAAGGAGCTGAGTAAACAATGACTTTTAAGTGTGCCCACATGTAAAAATCCACAGCATTTAAATCAAGAAAGCATGGAGCCACACAGTGAGACCTCCTTGACCTATTCATCAGTTACGATAGATTTCATCAAGCACATCTCACGGGACAGCTAAAATGTAGTGGCGTACCTTCATGTAAGAACCATAAACATCCTCTGACCACGCCTGATATCTCATTTGCCAAAAATGCCAGTATCCATTCCCTATGAAGCAAAGTGGCAAAACGTGTGCACCTATCAAATGATCATTAACAACATTTACCTAAACAATGACACTCAAATGCTGCTGGTGTCCAAATGGGACTACATTACGAGGACTTTTCTCTGCCCACAGATGTCATTTCAATTAAAACCTGCCTTATCTGTAAAAAACTCACAAAATAAAGGAAGGGTCAACACACTGTTGAAGAAACCACCAAAAAAATGCCTCTAGTGCTTGAAAATCAGATGGCATGAGACACTGATCTCTATGCAAATGGTTTGGGTACAGAATCTGTTCACATAGGACCTTCCTGACATCATATGCACGACATGCAACTCCTCTGCTGCTGAAACCAGAATTATCCTTCACAGTCCAGGACATGCTTCATCCTGTGCGTGTGTATGTCCAGCCTTTAACCAGCTAGCTGATTTTCATTAAACATGAAGCAAACATAATGTCACTGAAGGCTACCTCTATGTTGTAATTTCTTCATAAACACATGAAATGGGATAGGAGAAATAATAGCACAATTTAGCATGAGGTCCTGAAATTATGTGTGGTGACAGATAAAATAACTTTAGAAGCACGGAAAGCAACATCACAGTCATGCGACAATTTTCTTTAGTTTACACTTTGACAGCAACGAATACTTAAACTAAACATGTGAAAATGATTACAGAGAAAATTAACAAAATAAATGATGATGTCTAAAAAAAAATCCCCACTTGTGTACAAACCAAAGGAATATAAAGACATACAGAGGTCATTCAAGAGACCGATATAAAGTCAGGACCTTCTTTAGCATAACCCACACAGAGCATACAAGGAAGAATACTAATATTAACGATCTATGTAAATATAAAATACAAGAAGAGTATTTAAATTAAAAATCTCCATAAATATTATAATACTGAAACATATCAATTTGCTTCAAGTTACCTTGAGCAAGATTTAGCAGAGCCTGATGATGGAGAGCGAGACCAGATTCCACGACTTCGAGAACCAGACGAGCCGTTTGACCAACCAGCAGGACTGTGGCGCCAACTGAAATATCATGGCTATCATTCTGCCTGAATGTATGACAGATTATAACAATCCATTGAGAAGATAATGACATTAAACAGGTATTCTGATAGATTTAGCCGACTGACTTTATAAAGAAAGACAGACTAATGGCCCAGGTACATGCTCACCTAACCTAACCTACCACTTAGTTCATTTTAAGACTCAGTTTAAAAATGTAAAAGACAGAAGTGATCAACATTGTTCATTCAGATCATTATATTATTTGTCTCAATGTGTTAATGGTCAACTAGAAGGAAGAAAGAACAAATATTTTCTTAAAAAACCAACCGTTTAAATGAAGTAACATAAGGTCACTTCAGATGGCTTTTAACAATTAAACATGGCAGGAGGTACACAGTATGGAAGATGTAAAAATATGGCCCTTTCGTAGACATTTTCTTTGAGTAATTGGACACAACTTGTCGGCAAATAATGGTTAATATTAAAACAAAAACAAAAGAGTAAAGAATGGGCTAAGAAGGAAATAAAATTGGCAAAAGAAGATTTAAGACTTACAGAAGTGTCATAACACTCATTCAGATTAGCTGACAATTTTTTATAATGAGAAGAAAAGGTTTACAATTAAAGAAGTTATATCTAACTTCACAGGCAATTTACTATAAATATATGTTCAATTAAAAACAGGGGCAACAATAATCAATGTTTTCATTTAATCAAAATTACACACTCATTTGGGACCCTATTCAGGCAAGCAAACATTTTAATGAGTACTTTAAAAGTGAGGCACAAAAATCTGCGCATTGAGCTGCACGACGACAGTATTCCTGAATCGTCAATAACAAACACAAGCACTGCTCTCCTTCATTCCTGTTTTCACTACATTTGCTCTCGTAGGCTTCTCTCCCTGAAATAACCAACTGTAACTGATCCCACCTTTCACAACTGCACTCGTACCAGCATTGTTTACAACCCTGCAGAGTGCGCTTATTTCAGATTCAGTCCGAGAAACTTGACCCCTTAATTGTTTTGAGGAGTGTAGTTTATTTAGAAAGAACAGTAAAAAAAATTACATTACCTGCGCCGATGCCTCGAGCGTGAACGTGTGTGATGTCTCCTCGAGTTGCCAGAAGACGAAGATCCGCTGCTTGACAAGCTGCTGGCACGCCGCGACCTATACTGGCGCCTACGCCTATCTCTGCTATGACTGCCTCTTCTTTCCTTCTTATCTTCTTTCTGGGTATGTTTCCTTGTTTCACTCCCTACAGGCACTTCACCATCAGATACAGTCTGCACCTCCACACTTTGCATCATGGGCCGCACTGCTGTCTCACATGTGACAGGACCCGCATCTTTTGCAGCTGATGAACCTCCAGAACATGCGTCTGGTTTGGCCGAAACTGTCGACGCACCGCAGGAACCGTCCTGTAAAGCCGAGTCCGCGTCCTCCGCGATGCTTGCGCCCCCGACGACGGAGGCTGAACACGATGGAGAAGGGACTGGGGAACTGGCACAACTGTTTTCCCTACTACCTCGTATTTGATCGAGTTCTTTGATGCGGCTACGGTATTCCTGCAGATTTAATTTTCGTTTCTTTGGCCCTTGTTGGTCTTTAACGGCTGTAACTTCACTGACTGCTGAACTCTGACCACCCCCAACATCTGACTGCATCAGAACATGTTTGTCAGAAGAACTTGGCACATTCGCTATCTGGCATTTTTTCAGCACAGATATCATGGTCATTTCTTTACCAGGCTTCAGACACACAGTTTCTGCATTGCTCGATGCAAGCTTACTACCACTAACATTACTTGAAGCTATGTGATAATCTCTCCCATTAACAGAAAGCACATTACTACAGTTCTTCCCACTGGAAGCTAAAAGAGAAGTCTTCGCAGCAGCTTCTTTGAGTGTGACTGACTTCCGTCCAGTTTGGTCCTGTGACAAACACTTAATGTTATTATTATTACTATTATTATTATTATTATTGCAACGCTGAACTGTATCACTAGGCGAGGCCGCAGTATCCTCACTAGCGTCACTAACTTCTCCTGACTCTAGCCCACTATCCTTCTTAGAGTTACTTTCACCCCAACATTCATCATCCCTTACAGCTACCTTCCTACCTCGTGTGCCATTCTTTTCTACTAATCTGTGAGGTGCAAGTACCATGTAATATTCAGGCAGACGAGAGTACACTTTCTCTTCATCACAAGACTTCACGTTACTTCTAACTGTGTCCTCATCATTAACGTGACGGATGTTCATTTTATCTGCGACATAATCTGAAGCGTCCGAGTGGTAAAACGAATGAGGCGGTGGAGCCACCTCCATGTTGTTTGTTGATACTGTACAATAGTCATGGTCCAACTGAACAGACTCCCCACCTCCACCACCAGACACCTAAATAAAATAAACACAATTCTGAACACGTGGCATTGTCAGTGGTAATAAATGCTGACAAAATTTTTCTGCATCAGTGTGCACCTGAAAATGAGGTCAGCATACATCCAATTTCTATTCAGAAAATGTTATGCTCAACTTTTCACAGGTAGGTAGTAAGTACCTTTATATTTTAAACAAAGAACAGACACTAGATGAAATAAACACTGTAATTATGTTCATACATTCACACATTTATAGCAGAATTCTGTATCCAAAAATTAATATCTAAATTACATGCGCAGAATGTCATAATTACCAAATTATTTCATTTAGGCACATTTCCCTCTGCTAAGCAAATAAGGCCGCAGAATTATTCCAATATACCAATGTAAAATACAGTATAAACATTTTCCAATGTCTGAAACCTATTTTTAAAACTACAACACTGCATCAGAACATAACAGATGTTACGTAACAAATTTCCAAATGGAATACAGAATTCTTTTGTCATCATCCCCTGTAATAAGTATCCTTTTGATCAAGAAATGTCTGAAAACCTTAAATTTCATTGATCATAAGACAGAGAACATTAATGTTATGACTCTGACGTAAAAAAAACACATTTCTAAACTAATAGTAAAACTTCTGTTTCTTTGTTTTGAAAATACTAATGTTAAATCAAAATTCAGTGCGTACACTCACAATTTTCAACAGCTTGTTTCTGCTAAGCGCCGCCCCGGCATCCTGCATACGCGTGCCTCCTCTACCTGACCGCTTACTTGGCATCGCAGGAATTAAAGGTATCACTTTCTTCCGTCCAGATGCCTGCAGAAAAGTACAGTACCAGTTAACATGACACATGAAAAATGGAATAAAACTCAAGTTAACTTAATGACACTGCAAAATTCCTTCAAACCAAAAAGCAGTCTCTTTTAGATAAACACTAATTAAATGCCAATCACAACACTGATGTAAGGAGCGCACAGACTGGAAATGCTCTAGTTAATTTAACTCGTGTATGAACCATAACACATACTGAAAACACACAGATTTGATGTTGTACAACATCAGCAAAAAATCTTAAGTCACCTTTATCCTATCAATGACTTCTTTTGGCAAAGAGTCTTTGATATTTTGATGGGAGAGGATGGAAGTATTTCCCTTAGTAGGTGTTGGTGTCACATGAAAGTCTTTTGGTGTGGATGGTGTTAACTGCTGTGTTGCCATTGCATACAAATGTGTGTCAAGAACGGATGGCTTGCTGTTGCTGTTTGAGTTGAATGCTTCTGATGCCTCAAACTGCTCTAGGAGACTTGTTAAATCACCAGCTTCCAAAACTGCAAAGCAAACAAAAAAGCTTTAGTATTAATCCTTTGAACAGCACACTGCAAAATTCAAATCCACATAATTAATATTCTGAAGATTTCCGTCATCAGGGCCTGATGTCCTGATGACCTCTGAAACGTTGGTTAACATCGACCAGACTACACAGCGCAACAACCCAGAAGACGGAAATCTTCATACTCACCGCTGTGAGAACCTCAAGTCTTACAATTAATATTCTGTTCTAAACCATCAAGTGGCCAATGAGGAAAGTCGTAGGGCAGTTGCTTGGTATTTCACTGTACCCACGTTCTCATATCAGGGCAAAAGAAACTACCTCAGATTTAAATTATTATAAAATGTTTTTGTTCTTCTTGTTAAAAACAACAGGCAGCTGTTGAACATGTTTTTAAAAAAAAGGCAACACAGCCCTAATCTTGATTTTAAATATCTAAAAAATCTTTTTAAACTATTATAAACAACCGCCTTTCTTTTAATTTTAAATCAGCATGGTTTTGTCAAATAAAAATCTACTGTAACCAATTTAGTAGTTTGCTTAAATGATTGGATTATCTTTATTTTGCCCGAAGTAGTTCCAACCCTATCTGTCAAACGGCTCTTTCTTCCTTCATGTCTTAGAAAGTTTTCTTCTCACTTTTTTGTAGTTGGCAGTACCACAAGGTTCCGCCCTCGGTCATCTTTCTTTTAACATTTTTATTAATGTTCCGCCCTCGGTCATCTTTCTTTTAAAATTTTTATTAACGGCCTTTCTGATAAAATTAAACATTTCATATTTCTCTTATTTACTGATGAACTGAAAATTTATTGAGATACAAAGTCTGCTAAAGAATGTAAATCTCTATAAACTGATAACGATTCAGTACTACAGCAGCACGGTAAAAACTATGGGGAACTTCACACTCAGAAAATTAAAATTGTATCTGCCAAGACCAATAGAAGAGAATTTTCTACTTCCAGCATAACCAATGCACTAAGACATAATCTTCAGCTAGGTGTGTATCTTATTTGCAGTAATGATGCATCTCCATATAAGGTCAGCTACAGACAAAAGAAAATGGCGCTCAGCTTGACACTCGTGGAGTTATAAAGCTGTAACGGAGAAAATGGTTTCTGCACTAGGCCTGACTTGAACGCTTATTGTGTTTTTATTTGTTGATGGATATCTGCAGATGATGTCATATCAGGTGTGTTGGGCAAAAAGGCAATGTAAAATTTATTAAGTTAAGCAGGAGCACATGAAAAAGATGTTTTAAACAAGAACAGAAGTTACTTTTCTCAGTAATGTAATGGCTAGAGGACGTTGTTTCTGTTTAACACAATCAATCACATAAACTGAATGGTAGGCCAGTTTCACGTAAATGCATTACGATGTATATAGCTGCAAAGCGGCAGGTAGGCGGACAACAAGATGCTAAAGTGTGAACATTATTTGTTTCATTTTGTCGCAAGGGCAAAGATTAAACAACTGCACTCACCTGGGATTTGCTCTGAAACAGTTTCCACATCAATACAGTCATCATCCAGCTCAAATTTTATGCCAGATAACGCTGTTTCCGCAGAAGCAATCGCCATGTCATCCTCAGTCACTGCCAAGCCCAAGCCATCATCACCTTCCTCACATTTTATGAAACTGTCCAAACTGATCTTGTCTGACTCGTCTTTAACTGGGACACTCGTGAAAGCTGACTTCTGCTCCAGCTTCAATGGTGAACTTTGATTTCCTGATGAAATCGAAGATTTTGTGTCTTCTTCAAATATGTCGTCAGGAAGATGCTCAGATATGTTTTGAGGCATCCCCACACAAGGCCCCACAATGTTCTTCACATCCATGTCCTCAGTGTCAGATACCTGAAACATCACAACGCCACTGCTACTCGCTGAACAACCAGATTCGTGTAGAGGCAGGAGCTGCATACAGACCAGCCCAATGAGTACCAGAAACTTTGTCCCTTGGGATGAATAGGCCAGAGCTTGAAGCTCATCTCCTAATGCTGAAATGAACCCTATCAGTCCCACACCAATGTCAATGGCATTCCACACTCATGAGGAGATCGCCAGAACTGAAAAGTTGGCCAGGTGTTTACGACGGTACATCCCTGTAGCCAATAATTGAGCTGGAGTGCCACAGCTAGAACGATGCTTTCTGTGACGCAAACCCAAAACTCCGAGAAGCCAGACCGAAGGACTGAGAACATAAACGCACATATCTGGCCGGATACTTATAGGCTGTGAGGACAAGGACGTTGCTGACATAACAAAAGACCTGCTGCACCACTGAAGAAGGGTAGAAGGGCTTGATACTCAAAAATTATCATATCATTTTAAAAAATTCAAATAAGTGGAAGATATCTGATTATTTTTAAAAGAATAAATTACACTGCTTACTCTGTGCAAGAACGTTCATAATCGTTGACGAGAAAATTTAGCTTGCATCATGAAACAAATGTGTATTTATAGTTTATGGGAATTACATGTTGTAAAACTGCACACACAGTGCTACGTAATTTGCCTACCTTATTTTCAAAGCATTACAATAAAGGGTCAAGGTGAAGGTAAGTAAAAAGGTTATGACTTTTGCATTTCCTACAATTTACAAAATTTTTCATCAGGCCCCAGAAAGTGAGGTGTGAGATTGGAATAAACTGCCTCAGGACAGGGTCTAGCAGAAGACACTTGTAAATATGATATTATATCTTTGGGTTTCATGAAGGGCAGAGAATTTCTTAACAAGTTCAGTAACTGTTAACTTATAATCAAAACCTCAAACGCAAGTGTAATTTTCTCAAGGAGGATCCTACTCACTGGAATAAATGATAATCACCCACTAAAGTCGTAGTAAAACAAACGAGTGAACAACTAAACAGGTAATCAACTTGAGTTTAGTCCCAAAGCTTAAGCAAGGACCCTACTATTATCATTTTTTGACTTGTGAAGTACGTGTCTAATTACACATTTTAATAACAACTCCTAATCACAAGATGGCCCCAGGCTGAAATTTGGGTATTGCAAGGATACTAAATAGTGCATGAAATATATTTTGTTGCAAAAATTTAAAGGTTCGTGCTTCAACACCAAAGGTCAAGTTGGATAACCATCACAGTCTCTCCCTCAATAATAAACCTACGAGGCATGTCAATGGGAAGGGAGTGTAAACAACATTCCAGCCTCACATGGCCAAAGGTGCAGCCATTATAAAGTGACAACTTTTGCCCAAAATTTCTCAATTCTGGAAAATTTGGACCACCAATTCAAAACTATTCCAGATTGCTATGAACTGGATACCTATATCTAACGTGCCTAATATCTCTGCAATTTTGATGCAAACTGGTAGAGACTGAGTCGGGAGCTGTACTGATGTGAAACGTAATGACCTATATGGCATATATTTTATAGTTTTTCATAAATTGGGGTGTGTCTTTACAGGAGTGCATGGTATTTGGATAATAAATGAGGCAGAGCTTTCCATAATCAGGAACATTTTAGATATGACCACACAGTTCTGTACCATTAACATGTTGGTATTAGCTGGCCAGCGCCTCGCACATGGAAATCTGATTTCTCTGCTATAAGAAGCTGTTGCAAGTCGTGACAGATAATGCTAATGTTCACAGGAAGTATTTGTAGTACCACAGAGAATAAAAGATGGCAGGAGTTTTGTGTTATGAGACTGCAGGAAGGTCTTGTTCACTGTACTCAACACATAATTGTAGTTTTTTGTATTTATTTATTTGTGTATTTATGAAAGATGGCAAGAATAAGATTGTGATGAACATAAAATAGTATTTATCGTAGATGTTAGAGGTGAAAGTACATCAGGTGTTAGTTCTAGAGAAAGTGACTGTAAAATAAGTGATGCCCGTGCCAGTGAGAGAGTGGAACAAGTGATTGTGGCAATGTAACAGACGCAAAAGAGGTAAAGTGACTAGCTTCAAACCATGGACCAAGCACAGTAATTCCAGTGCAAAATACCAAATGTAAAGTAGATGCACCATCAATTTTGATTGGACAAATGAGTATGTTGAATATTTTGAACTCCTCTTTGATCTGGATTTGTTGTGCCTCATCCTGCACGAAACCACTCTGAATGGAAACAAAAAGAAAGTACAAGATATGAAAAGAGCTAGAATCCTCCAACCCTAGCTGATATCAAGGCACTGTTTGGCCGTAGTTCCCAACGGATGAGTTACCGCTCTTGTTCTGGAACCTGCGTTGGCACATGCCGACAGACGATGTAAATCGAAGAAGAGCTTATAAAATGTGTACCAGACAAAATCAGACTGAAGTGCATCCAGCATTAGTCACTCAGTACGGCTGTTGCTGGCATGAAAGCAGAATTTCTTTCAAGTAGAAAGCGTCTTTCAAAACATACAATCCCATGGACTGAAAATGTTTGTACTATCTGACAGTACCTCTCTGTGTGAGTGCAGAAGTGCGTGTGCGTGTACGTAACTACAAACCACACACTGGCAAAACTGAAACCCTGAGTTAGAATTTTTTCATCATGTTGTAACAGTTATTGCTGGAAATGGACCATCTGCAATCTATCATTACTTACCTTAAATTTTTGGTGCTTACGAACAGTTTCATGTATGTTTTATATTTCTTTTAATATTCTACTTACAGACAAAAAAAAATCACTTGGGAAGGTACAGACACAGACAAGATGATGCCACAAGATAATGTTTCTCTTTCCATACAAAATGAGACGACAGCCTAAAAATATATATCACTTTGAAGTTTTATTTTGCCTTCCCTACAAACTCAAATAGTTGTAAGGCAGCATTTCTCAACCTATGGCACGCGAGCCAATGTGGAGTGGTACGTGAACTAAATAAGAAAATCAAAAGATAACATTAACATAAATAAGTTTTTCCCTGAACGCATTTGGTTAGTGGTACATTTTATGTGTTAAATTAGAATTAGTGGTACGCCAGCAAAAGAGGTTCAGAACTCGTGGTTGTAAGGCATACCTCCATGGATCCAAGATGCTCCTGCCACTCTGCCAACATCTTCTGGAAGTCCTCTTTGCTGTGAGACTCAAGTCTGGCAAAGTCTCCATCCAAAGGCACAGTCACTGGTAGTACAGCCATGTCCCCATTCAACCTGACACAACACAGTATCACATGCAGGCATACCTCGGAGATATTGCATGTTCGGTTTCAGACCACCGCAATAAAGCGAGTCATACAAATTCCCATTCTTCAGTGCCTGAGCATCTGCGGGTCCCAACTTTTCGTTGGCTCTGATCTATAGACATTCGGTAGGTCTCCTTGGACGAGTGATCGGCCCGTCGCAAGGCCTCTACCTGTACACAGGACAGCACAACACATAAAGACGCAGACAAACATCCATGCCTTTAGTGGGATTCTAACCCATGATCCCAGTGGCCAAGTGGCACAAGGCCCACACCTCAGACCGCGCGGTCACTGTGACGGCCCTGCTACATTTATAATGAAAATATACCATAATAATTTCATTTGAAACCCAGAGTTTTTAGTAAAGCACTAAATCACAGATAACTTCAATCAACACCTCAATCCAGACACTTCGTTTAACATCGAAAAAACACAAACATTACAAAATATCCAGCACTCGGTCTAGATACAATAAAGTATTTAATGCCGAACATTTTAGCAAAGATGTTCTAACATCTATGACATCTTTTAAACCCACTTACTCCTGTTCGGTGTCCCAGAGGTCAGGAGCATCAA